TGAGTTGAAGATTGACAATAAAGTGAACAATAAGAGAATCAAGAATGTTTCAATGGCAACAGTCCATTTGATACTATTAGTGACATTTTCTGTATCGTCATGCAGCAGTCAATAGAGAATATTGAAAGATATCTCTTAAGATGAGAGGAACGTGAAAGTTTTTTTTTGGGTAAGGATTGAGACAAAATTATATCAAAATTCAGCACGGATAGGATGAGAATAAATTCATCTATAGACGGACTAAAATTGATTCTTTTTGCATTAGCTACACATGAGAATTTACTGAAGTGTCTCAAGAATTGAGGATGATACGTTTAAGAAGACACAGATATTTTACGCAACATTTTTTGGGTGAATGTCAATTCTATTAAGAACAACTTGACCTAAATGCATTAACTCTTCTTCAAGCCCAACAATCGCTGCCTTTAAAATAAATGTTTTTTATATCCAAAACCTTTTGACACAAAAATTCAAGTTATGCTCGATGCCGCACTTAATTAAAAAAGGATTATAAAAATGAATATTTACAGTCGAGTCATACACTAAGATATCTCGACTGCTTTGGATCTGTTCCAACAACAAATATGCTACATAATTGTAGAATGATTATGAGAAATTTATGGACTCAGTGTGATCCGCTTCCAGCTTCTATCTTTGCTCCATATATCCAGATTTGATTGAGGTTTCTATGTCATTTTTATGAATGTATAAAATCATGATTTATCATCACTCATCTGATGGATATGCCTTAAACGCACAATGTTTTTTTAATGCAATATCATGATGACAGTAATTATGCCTTAAAAAAGTAGGCGAGTAGAACTGCGTGATGACGTTTTCAATTCATTATTAGAACACTTCTTTATAGCCGCAAAAATTCGGTTAGGCTTCCTACTCATGTTCACTATTGTACTTCCGGAAACAAACAACTAATAAAGTCAAATAAAAAGCCATCAACAGGTTCCTTTTAAAGACATTGTAAGAATTTAGGTCATGCCAAACAAATGAATGAATCGACTTTCTTACCGTCTACGCAAAAAAATATCCTGATAAAATCGCAAGACATTAATTTCCTCCTTATCGCACCCGCAAAATTAATTTCCTGTTGAAATTTTTCTTTCCATGCCTTTTCGTATTCATCAGGCAAAGTAGGTCACACACGTGCGTTTGCGAAAAGGGACAAAAATATTGTTTACATCAAATCCAATTGACTAAAGAATATTGTGCAAAATAACAAGGACATTTTGTGGTAAGTGTTGGAGACAACAACAATAAAAAATTCTATAAAAGTCGTCGGCGAGGATACGCATGAAAGAAAGTGCGGTTGGTGGGGATTGAAAATTTTAAAAAATATATTTATAAAAAAAGTTGCAAACAACAGCTGAAGGATAAATATAGAACAAGTAAGGAGCTCTGTTTGTATTGCTGTGTCAGTGACTGAAGTGCATTTTTGGTGTATGTGGATCTTTATGTTCAGGTTTGTTAAGCTACTGCATTACTTTATGGAAAACAATCTACATAATTATTGAGAATCAAAGTATTCACATAAGGGGCCGTTCAATTATGACGTCCGATATTTAGGGGGGGGGGGGGGGTCTAGGATTTTGTGACAGTTCAAACAGTGGAAATTTTTTCTATAGAATTTTTGTGACAGAGGGGGGAGGGGGGTCTAAAAATCAGGTTTTTTGATGGACGTCATAAATGAACGACCCCTAAAAGCTTCCAGCTATCTATTCCTAATGCCTCAACATTCAGTCACAGAGGCTTAATTCTGGTATTGCCTATATACTCACAGCTAGCACACAGCAGAGTAAATTCTGAGGTATCAGACACCACAAAGTCAAATAAACAACAGAAGCTCCAACGAAAATGCACAGAACGGAAATTGAAGTCTATTTAGTAGGACAATAGAACATACATGACGTCAGTTGTTCTACATACAAAAAAATTTTTTTTTATTTGAATTTCTAGAAACTCAAATAAATAAACCAGAGCATTAAGTAAATGCTTGGAAGTAGCCAAAGAAATGAAATTTACCACACCATCCAATTTTCTTCAGCACATAAATTCAGCTTGTGTTCCATTTGTAGACATTGCCAAGAAAGTCTTTAAATTGGGACTGCTTTTAACGAAACTAGCTTTATCCTTAAATTTAACTTATGCATTGAGGAGGAAAATAATTGAAATGGATGTAATCAAAAGTTCATCGCATGTAGCTATAAAATCAGGCTCATTGTGATCATTTATAGAACTTCTATTCATCAATTTTTTTCCATTTATTTCTTAAACCCATAAATTTTCAATCTCAACTCAATGGAAGAAGAAATAAATAACATCGGCATATAAAAATACCATAAAAAGTCACTTGCTATGCTTTAGTTCACAGAAGCTAATTTCTTATGTGCTTTTGACATTTGAGTGTATGAGTGAGAAATTTAAGCTTTTTTGGTGATTAAATCTTTGGAATATTTTCACGTGTCTATACATTTGGAGTAAGAATTGAGAGTCATTATGAGCATAAAAGTTTAGATTCTGCTACAGACAAGATTAAGTCATTGGAAATTATCATAAAACTTGAGCTTTTGAGAGCTTTTTGAACAACAAGCTTCAAAAATTTTGAAATTTCGACAATTTTGAGCTTTTTCCGGATCAATCTTTTTTGAAAGCACGAATTTTAATGACAAATGAGCTTTTTTCGAATAAATTTGATCCTTTAATAAAAAAGCTACAAAACTAAGTTCTACGATAAACTCCTAGAAATGATTTGAATATCCAATTTCTCCATTTAATATTTATCACTATAGAGTTCAGAATGACACATAAACCTCAATCATAAAAGAAGAAAGTAGTTTAACGGAGGCAGCAAGAGGATCACATTTAGACCATAAATTTCTCATAATCATTCCACAATTATGCAGCATAAAAAAAATTATTGGAACAGTTCCAAAGCAGCCAAAGATCTTTGAGTATGACTTGTAGTATTTGCATTGCTCCATAATTAAGTTTACATACAATCTCGCGCAGCATACATTTCTGTGTCAAAGGGTTTTGGATATAAATAACATTTATTTTAAAGGCAGCAATTGTTGGGCTTGAAGAAGAGTTAATGCATTTAGGTCAAGTTGTTCTTAATAGAATTGACATTCACCCAAAAAATGATGCGTAAAATATATGTGTCCTCTTAAACGTATCATGCTCAATTCTTGAGACACTTCAGTAAATTCTCATGTGTAGCTAATGCAAAAAGAATCAGTTTTAGTCCGTCTATAGATCTCATCCTATCCGTGCTGAATTTTGTTATAATTTTGTCTCAATCCTTACCCAAAAAAAAAAAAAACTTTCACGTACCTCTCATCTTGAGAGATATCTTTCAATATTCTCTATTGACTGCTGCATGACGATACAGAAAATGTCACTAGTAGTATCAAATGGACATCTCTATGGCAATAAAAATTGTTAATTGAAAAGAAAATGATGAAAATTTAATATTTTGAGTCTTGGAAAGGAGGTCAATAAGAATAAAAAGGAAAGAATGACGAAGGTGAAAGATGTGTCTAATTTTGGAACTGAAATAGAAGGCACAACTTTTTGGTGTTTAATCTATTTTGAAGTTCGATTTATTTCCATTTATGACTGCATTCTAATCTGTGATCATCAAAAATACATAAATTCAAGATCCAGTCGGCAAAAAATCTCAAAATTTCATGATTTTGTGTACAATATGAAGTAGTATTCTTCAAAATACCATAGATACGAAGTCTATCAAGTAATATGCAAACCAATACAGCCCCACCAAAAAGGAATAAGAATCTAAAGAGTAAAATTAATGCCTTAATAAGCACATACAATTCAATTTTAGAATAAAAAGATCCATTAAATGAGGAAATTTAATTTTGCAAAGAACCAGAACGGTAATCAGTTAATTAGCAACAAAATATTTTATGCCTTGTCAAGAATGATTTATCGATAAGAATTTGTGAGGATCCAGTAAACGTTTCATCATAGGAAATTAATGTACGATTCACAGGTGGTCGTTCTACTTAATGAACAGCTTTTTTTTTGTACTCCTCTAATCTTCTATGGAAGTATGTCATGTTTAGCGTAGATTTTTCAAATCATGCAGTGCACATGCCAGATAGTTAATTTGCAAAAAAAGGCAGAGGAACCATTAATTTAGTCAGTAAAAAGGAACAAAATTGATGAAATTTAGGACAAATCAGAATATTAAAAGGCATTCATGCCAAGTGATTTATTGTCATGCTTTCCTGCATTTGACAAGAGTCATGTAAGTGAAATTTAAAGCATACATATTAAGCAGTTCTGTGCATGAAAGCTTGTCATAAATCGTGTATACATGAGTATTAATGTTTGCTAGTAATACATGGAAATCCATTACAGTTTATGCATAAATTAATTAAGAGAATTTGCACATGATACAAGTGCATAATGGATTCTCATGTAAGTGATGTTTATGATGCTTCAAAGTCATGCATACTTAATGTAAGCTGCAAGATTTTGCATGTAATAATACTTTTTAAGAAAATCTAATGGAATCTTTGCTCTCAAGATTGATTTAAAGTCTTAAAAACGTAATCTTTGCAGTTTGCTGTTGACAGGATTGCAATAAGTACAATAGTAGATGATGGATATATATAATGTATCTTGGGGGTCAAAATTCAAATTGCTTCTACTGAAAATTAGTTTATTTTAAACATTTCTATAAGTAGAACATAGTATGCAGTTGTCAGCTGCTGGAGAAGCTTAAAGAATCAAATATTAAACTCACGAGATTTTAACGGAAAATTTTTGATTTTAAATTTTTAAAAACCCTACAACAGATATTTTTACACATGAAAACCATTCAAATGTCATTTTTACACATCAAATATGTACATGATGATTCTGAAAACCATACAATTCCAAAATTTTATAGTGTTACAAAACCGTACAAATGTTCCAAATATCTGAAAAATGAAAACAATTAAAATTCAACGGTTTTTACTAGATTAAAAATTAATTCACTTTTTATTATCAATTCAAATCATGAATTTTGCGAACATTCTTTACCATTCATATTTTTCTTTCATTGTTATTTTTCATTATTTAATTTTTTTTTCAAATACCCAGTAAATGGTATGCATAAACTGCTTCATTCTTTGCATATTGTGCTCATAAAATCTACTTCATCATGCCATTTCGAGAGGTGCACAATTAAAAAAAATAGGGGAAGGGGGGGACTATAAAAAATGAAAATGTAATTAAACTAAGTGGGAAAAGATAAAATTTTTAATAATATCTATGAAAATGAATTATAAAAACTACTTAATTGTATAAAAGAATTCAAAAATTCATCTTTTTTGTTGTATAATGTGTTACTTTAATTATTATAAAACCAAAAATAATTAACTGGACTGATTTAATGATAAATAATATTAATTATTAGCGCCATAAATTCCTCGAAACACACTTCATTTATTTACTTTTTTTTTTGGCAAGCCATTAAAATTTCCTTTAAATTGAATTTTTAGCGCTGGAACATCTGATTTCACTATCAATGCACATATGCATTTATGTATTTAACTTTTTTTTCATTTATTTTATTCCTTATGAGAGACAAATAAGCATGATTTATCATTTTCCAAGCATACATATCCTTTTTTTTGCTGTGAAATGTTTCATTTATCTTTCATATTATCACAAATAAAGCATAATTAATTGTGTTTGTTATTTTTTTTGTTGTGTGTGTTATTAAATCTTAGTAATTTAATGGAGAAAGAAGTTCCTTCTAAAATTTTCTGTCATTAAAAGCATTCATCATATGTTTGAATTTTAGGAGCTGATGTTGATTGTGGAATTTAAAGGTGTACAGCTGAGTCAATGAAGTGACAATTAGACCACTAAAAGCCTTACAGACTCAGTTAACATCCAATCAACTCCCAAACAAATAGAATTAATGCAAACATTTTCACTGGATGACGAAAAGGGAGTTAAGCTAGGAAGTATAAAATTGCAGTGAAGCTATTGAAAATCGACTTTAAGTAACTTTTCCTTCCTCTATTTCTTCTAATATTGATTCTTTGTAGTCTGTTAATTAATAAAAAATATTTGTGAATGTATAAAATATACTATTTAATGTCTGTAATGCACATTTACAATTTTTGTTTGTAGTTTTAATTATAGTCATATTGAACCTAAAACTTTAAGAATATTTCTTTTATAGTAATGAACATGAATGTTAATTCTTCTTTCTTGTTTAGAGAATCATCTTCAAAATTTTCGTTTTTCACTTTATCTAAAATTACAATAGGTAAGCAAAAATAGTAGTAGAGGATGAATATTTATAATTTTGATTCTTCAAGAGAATTACAAGTAAAAGCTAAATTGTCTTTAGCATATTCTTTTAAAAAGAGATGTTATAACAGTTTCTACAAGAAGCAATAAATTAACTGAATGAATAATCATCGTTTTGATGATCAAGTCCTAAAAACATTCTAATGCCCCAATAAAGTTAGCAAGTTCATATAGTAAAAATATTATATTTTTTTCATCGTTTTTTATGTTTTTTTTTTTCCATTACGCACTGCCTCACTGCTTTGCTGTTACTATCTTGTTAATAAATATATATATACGGTGATTTAATTCATTCAACTTTGTTCGAGTTCTGAAAAAAAGCAACGAAGAATATAAAATACAACAATTAGTAACATGATGTCATTATGGGCTTAAAGTCTCATGTCAGAGGCGTTGATTTAACAACTAAATTCATGGATATTAACTCACCTTTCTTTTTCAGATTATCTGTGATGATTTTCTGTCCAGGTTGTGGCATACCTCCTCTGATTCCCTGAGGAATTGGTGCATGTCCAGCACGAATTGGTTTAGCTTTAAATTAAACAAAAGTCAGTCAATAAATATCAAATAAAAACCAGTAAATCTTACCAATTTGTGCCTGAGGTCCTCGACGAGCCAAGTTCTTCTGACGAACAGCTTCCTTAATTCGATCAACTTCATATTGATATCTCTTACGATCACGCATTGCACCTTCCTTAGCCTCCTTCAATGCTGTCTCGAGTGCTTTTACACGCTCCATTGTCGTTCGGAGTCGCTTCTCTAATTTTGGTAATTCACAACGTAAATCTGCATTGTCACGAACCAATTGTTTATGAACTTTCGTCAATTGCTCCAAATTATTCTCTAAGAATGAAATCTTTTGTTTTTGAGCTAAGGAACCGCCGTCGTCTTCACTATCTTCTGAATTAATAGACTTCTTGATGCGAGCTTGCAAATCTTGTACGAACAATTTGCGTAAATTGTGTAAAGTTTGGAGCTCCTTTGAGACTGTATCTTCCAATCCTTTCAAATCTTTGCGGGCCTGTTCGCGTCTCTCGTTTGTTACACTGGAAATAGAAATAAATTTCAATTAATTAAGGATATAAAATAGTTGAGTTTCTAATGATATAAGGACTTTAAATATCGAATAAATTGAATTTTATTCAGTCATGAATTCGATATTGAAAGTCAAACTACAAATGATTTTTAAACAAACGAACGTAATCTAGGATGTATTCATGGTCAACATTCTTTAATGATTCTATCATCACTTGCAATTTGAAATCAATTTATCAAAGTCATATATCGCTAGGCATTGACCTTGATAGATTCAAAGCAAATCGACTTTATGGAATTGAGGAAATTTGTCAGAATAACTATGAAATTCTACAATAGAGGTTCTTGATTATTTAGACAAATTTCGCCATATTCCTTTTTAGAACCTTACAAAATTTCTCAGATTCATTTTAAAGAAATCAAAAGTTTATGTTTAATGAGCATAAATTATGATAAAAGGATTTTTTGTAACACATTGACATTAGTAAAATTATGAAGATTACCATTCAGTTTGACTCAGAATGCATTAAAATGTAAAAACATTTTTTTAGAAAAAGAAAAAAGAAAGAATCTCAAGAAAAAAGATGAATTAATGTAAAATTTGATCAAAGTGAATAAAATTTAGTTTAATTCATTAAAAGAGAACATGTTTTTTTTTTGCATAAATAACCTTTTTTTTCTCTGTCTGTATTTTTATAATTTTTGTTTCATTTACAACTTTGCATTTTACAACATTTAATTTACATAATTTTTGTTCATTTAATTTATTTATTTTTTTTTTGTTCTATTCTGTAAGCATCGCGATGTGTTTGTTGTTTGAGGAAATGATAAAATGCAAATCATAAGCACAATAATACAGCCAGGAATATGTTTTTATACCAAATATGTTTTAAAAAAAGTTTAAATTCTACTTAAAAATAAATTTCGAACAATGATCGCGATTCCTGGCTTAACAACTTTTTTGACTTTAAGTCTCTAAGTCTATAACGAATTTAATAATAAGCATCATGTTCTCTTAATCAACAACATCTAACTCATTCGTTTAATTAAGTCACCGCGTGTCCAGAAATTTTTATAAATTTCGATTTTCAAACTGAATGGCGATCATTCTTGCGGTTTAAATAAATCATAAGTTTCAATATTCAACTACAAATTCAATTAATTTAATTAATATGAATATGTAACTGAATGAAATACATAAAAATGTGTGTATTTATGAATTTATAGTCTTTTATAACATGTTTTCATTCAAAGGTGTGATTAATACATTATGTTACAATACTTAAAAGCATAATAATCATCAATATTACGTTTTTTTATGTTTTCGTCATCCTTAAATATATCAACATTAAATATCACAGTAAATCAAATATTAATTCAATTTTTTGCTTGTTGCCGATTTTTTGAACCAATTTTTTTGTTAATTTTTTTTTATATTTCCCTAATTCACATTTTTGCACAATTTTCCAAGATTTATCATGCATCTTTCGAGTAAGTATTATTAATTAAACGTGTCATAAAATTTTATAACGGACTTTTTTAAATGTTTGAAAACCATACAAATTCATTTGTATGGTTTTGAAGGTTTTTGAAAACAATTTTATCGTTGCAATTCGAAATAATTCTAATTTGTATGGTTTTGTAATTCGAAATAATCCTAATTTGTATGGTTTTGCAATTCAAAATAATTTTGACAGTTAAATTTTGATTCAAAAGTTCTCTAATCTTGGAAAATTTGCACGAGTTATCCGTTTAATACTCTAACGGCAACTTCAATACTAATTTTTTGTTTTGACAAAATTTATAGCAGGTACAATGAAAATAATTAATTTTACTGTTATTTTGACTCTCAAAAGCAGCATAAATTTAGAAGCTTTAACGTAATTTCATGGCTTATAAAGAAACTTAATTACTCAATTAGGATTAGATTTATTTTCGATAATAATGACTAGAATAGTAAAGCTTTAAAAGTGAAATTAATTTTTTAAGACTAAGGAAATGTATTTTTTGAGAATCTTTGTTAATTAATGCACAAATCTGTTTTGATCCACAGTAATTATCATTCTGCATTACTTATGCTTATACATTTATCGCGTATGAGCAGGAAATGCTGCACAAATACTCGAAGGCATAGAAATCTCTGGCTTGTCTTTCATTTAAAATAAAGTATGATTTTTGAATTTTTTATTCATAAAATAATACTTATAGCTGCATGCAGTACTTAATAATATCCCGTACTTAAAAATAAGAGTAATTCTTAAAAGTTTGAATTCAAATTTTGAACACAATTTAAGTTATTATATTCGAATAATGCACAATTGGAACTGAACACAAAATGCAACTTAAAGTCTTTGAGCATGAAGAAACAAATGTCCGTGCTGTGCATGGATAAAACTGTTGTGTAGGCACAAAATTCAAGTTCATAACTTGTGTATCAAAAATTCTAACTGTATCAAAAGTGTTAAGCCATTAATCATGCAAGACTTTCTATCCTTTGAGTATTGTGTCATGTATCTTGTGACAATTTATAGCACAAGCAGATACTGTGGACATTGATGAGTTAAAAGAACCATTGTTAAAGATAAAATGAGATGAAAATGGAAAGTTGGAATCGTAAGTGATTCAACAAGTGACGAAATAGACGTAACTGAACTCTTATCAGTATTAAATTTAAACTTTTCACATTTGAGTCGTTCACGATGATCAATTAGTTTACGATTTAAAATATCTTTGCGGATTTTTGTTAATTGATAATATTGATTTAAGGAATTATTGTGAAAATTGTTACTACTTGTGGATTTATTGTCACCACCATTAAAATTGGGATGTAAATAGTCGGTGATATTTTCAGATTTGTTATCCTTATTAAAATACTCGTAATTGTACTGTAACTCATCATAATAATCACATATATGGTCGATGATCTTATCATCATTCCAATCTTTCCTAGAATCTCTTTTGTTACTCTTTTTGCTACTATAAATCTTTTTTGGTGTTGCCAATTTAGTATTAATTATATCGTTAGTCAATTTCGAATTATTTTTATGTGATTTGACATACATGAGTTCCTGTAAACGAGCTGATTTGTCGGCCTCTTCCTGCTTCAACTTCTCGTGTTCGTTCGACATTTGCTGGTTCTCCAACGTGAGCTTTTGGGTCGTGCTATAAAGATAAATTTAGAAAATCAGCCATAAGAATTAAATAAAGTCAATTTAACAGCATTGATACATACTCTCTCAACTCATTGATTTGCTCTTGTTTCGCGCCTATTTCGTCTCTCAAATCTGCAACTTGCTTAGTATGAGCATCGCGTAATTGATCCATCTGTTCGACAAACTCAACGCGCAGCTGTTCTGCTTTCTGTTTCTCTTCGACATTTAAAGATGTCAATTTCTCAGCTGCCTTTAATTTCGCACATTCCTCATGCAATGAATCAATATTCTCCTCTAATGAGCGCTTCTTATTCTCTAATTCACGCATTGACTCTTGGAGTGACTTCATACGAGCCTCATGTTGCGAGATCAAAAGTCGACAATCGCTTAACTCTTTCTCACTTTCATTAATCTTCTTTGTTGTTGCTTGCTGTTGCGTCTCCAAATTACTGCAACGCTGTGTGATGTTCTTTGCTTCCGATTTCATTTTGCTGATGTATAGACGTGCAACTGTAAACTCTTCTTCAATCTTATTGATATTTGCGTCGGAATTAATTTTCAATTCTGTTGACGTTTCTGTATTAAGAGCTTGACCGACTTCCGATAATTCACGCAAAAGATTACCCAATAAATCGATAATTCGTTTCTTTTGATGATTAGACATGTCCTTTAATTGTTGGAGTTCTGTTGTTGTCGTATTCAGCATAGATTGCTTTTGTTGGAACTCATCATTAACCTGCTCCAATTCTTTATTTTTATTATCGATTTCTTGCGATTTCTGATCATAGTTAACAGCCAATTCTTCTAATGCTTGAAGAACTTCCTTAACTTCCTCCTTTGCACTCTCGTTTTCTTGTTGAATGCGCGTCATTTCAGACTGCAAATTCTCATAATCACGACGTGAATTACTAATCAGTTCTTCTTGATCCATAATTTGCTCTTTAAGCTTCTCAACATATTGTGATTGTTGATTAATTTCCTCATCCTTTTCGTCCAATTGCTGATATAATGTTTCACGTTCAGCTTCAAGGCGTGCACGTTCATCATTCGAGATTGATCCAATTAATGCCAATCCACTTGGTGTAGCTGGAACTGGACCTTCACGAACTGCAACCTCAACTTCAACATTTGGTGTACTTGCTTCCATTGGATCTGCCATATTAAATTGTTCATTAAGATCAACTCTTTCTCCTGCACGCCATCTTGCCAATTCAGCCTCCAATTTCTCAAGTTTTCCTTTAAGTCTACCATTTTTCTCCTTCTCGCGTTCATAACGACGTTTCCATTCTTCAGCTGTAAGTTCCTCATTGACACAAACAACGTTCTTAACGGTCTTAGCGCGTCTACCAAAATCTAATGTTGATTTCGTTTCTGATTCATTGAAGCTAGCTGGTGAGCAACAAATGACAATTGTCGTGCGAGCATTACCACCGAGTGACTCTTGTAAAATTCTCGTTAATTTGGAATCACGATAAGGAATATGACTTTTATTTCCATCAGCCAATGCACTAATTACATTACCCAAGGCCGACAATGACTTATTGATGTTCTTTGCTTCGTCGAGGACTGTCCCTTCAGCGCCAGTTTTTGATACTTTCTCACTTCCAGCTAAATCGACAAGATAGAGCTTCCCGGAAAGTTTCTTTTGATTCTCAAGATTCTCTTGCTTTACATTGATGAGAAATACGGAGTGGGATCTTGAAGAATGTTCATTCATGTCTAAAGAAATTAACATAATAAAGAATCTGAGTTGATTTAATGGATTTTTAATAACTTACTTGTTACAGCAATATGCCGATTAGATTTTCCCTCCTCAATTACTTCAAAAACTTCTTCGGGACTTGAAACGAATCTCTCAGTAGCACCTTTCACATATGGAACACGATTCTTATCCTCGTGAACGCTCAGATTTATTTTTGAGACATCAAGCAAGTCTCTAATTTTGTCCATATAAATTTCATAATACGATACTTTAATGTGAAATTCTAAATTCATTTCCATTGTATAGATGTGATTGAAGATGTCATTTACAATACGTGGAATGATTCCCTGCTTCCCAGGATCTCCAATAACGCCTTCCATCGTGTGCGTTTTACCCGAAGATGTTTGACCATACGCGAATATCGTTCCATTATATCCAGCCAATACGTCTGCGACAATTGATTTTGCGGATTCATTGAACACCTTTTCTTGTGTTGCATTCGGCTTGAATACTCTATCAAACAAATATACTTTGCCCTATTTTATTGAATTTTTAATTCCACACATTTCGTTGGTCGGTAATTGATGCGGTTGGTAAAATAAATGCAAAGAAAAAAAGATATAGGAAAATGAATAAAGTTACATAAATGAAGAAGCATAAATAATTGAACCATAACAACGGCAGGAACGGAAAGCAATGAAAGAAATATAGTTGCTGTTAAAAATCATAAATGTTTATGAAGCATCAAAAAATGTGTATGCAATGTGAAGCACTATCAAAATATTATTAAAGACTATAGACTTGGTCTAATGTTGACTGACCAAGGCACATATGACTTGAGAAAGTAAATGGTTTGCTAGAGAATGAGACAAACTGACAACAAAGTCATCGTTCTTTACGAAAATACTTTGAAAAATTTATGCAAAAAGTCAGCAGTCTAATTAGATCTGTGAATAGGAAGAAGAAATTCTCTCGAGTGTGGGACGGTCTCCAATATTCATTTCATTTCAAGAGCTTCGCAGTTAATGTAACAGGAGAAAAATGTCGTTTTGGAATATTGACATTTTTCAGCTCATTCCCATTCTTTTTTTGCTTTTGAAGGTCATATCCAGTCATTCCAAAAAGGAAGATGATCCCCTGAATGAAATTGGATTAGCATTTATGGCCTTAAAATGGCATTTACACGATCTTCATGTCTTCTTATTAGACATTTTTATGTACACTTGTTCCGTTGTTCTCTCTTTTTACATATTTTTGCAGATGTGAAACAAAAATGGAAAAATGACGTCATGGAATATCGATTTGTCTCTGCCTGCCTGCTTTAGTGACTCACAATATATAGAGCTATGTGGAACTTTATTACTTTCTGTCATCAAAATAGCCGCTTTAAGAATGAAGGAAGTTAATGACGGTGCGAAAAAAGAATTTGGCAATGAGTGATGAGTAAATGAAAATTGGATTATCAATGAAAAGGTTTTTCCTCAATCGTAAAATTTTCTTCGTTTAGTCGATATGATGACTGAAAATCCAAGATGGATACATGGAAAGACGTTCGTGTTTTGTTACAGTCGCTTATGCCTTAATGCTAAACTCCCATTAATTTTGTTTGTTTTCTTAATTGAAGCTAGTAAGGCAAGCCATGAAAATAGTTGTAGATTTATGACATGATTATGTAATATCCAAAAACATTGAAAACTAGTCAAGTACCGATAGAAATATAGTATTAAAATCAATCAATTGCTTCACATGTAAGCTCCTGCCATAGACGTTTTCAACAAAACTCATTTCCTTTGAACATTTATCATTATAGATTTTTTCCGTGTTTTATGAAAAATCATAAAATTGTATTACAACTAGCTAAGGACTTACCCCAATCGATATACAGTTCTCCTCAGAGCCTTGTGGGAACTTTACGATGAATTTTGAGCCAGCTTTCTCTTCAGAATCATTGAGAGGCCTGAATCGACAAACTACCTTAATTGAATCTTCAGCTGGGATTTCTCGATCTGCCGCGGACATATTGCACTTACACTTAATACAAAAACAAAGTTAATAATAAGATTTGATGATTTTTATGCACTAAAAACACATTTGAATGATTTAAAATAATAATTTTCTTTCACTATGATTTTTTCTTCTCTGAATAATCAATAAACGGTTAAACGGAACTGAATTGAGAAAATCGCGTTACTAGCTCTCGCCCTCAACTTTATATGCCTTTAATTTTTTATATCCGTTATGCTTAATATCACTTTTCTTTATTTTTTTGATGCTTTACAATGTAATTTTTCATGGAAAATAAATTTAAAATTCAAGATTAACTAGTTTAACTTAGTTTGCTATGAGAAACATGTTTCATTAAGTCTTAAAATCAGAGTTTTTAAAAGTTTTTGAAATTTTCAAAAGGTAAACAAAACAAAAAAGGGGGTGCGAGCCTTAATTACGTCAACTTTTATTATAAATCTTATTTCTCACTACTGGGGGGTCCTCGATTTGAGTAGATTCTATTTGAGTAGATTCGATTTAAACAGAAATATTTTTACCCACCAAAATATTCGAATTGAGTAAATTTCTTCTTCTTTTCTTCGAATTGAATTGTTTACAAAACAAATGTTTTTTTATTATAGAAAATATTTTCAAACATATATTTTAATGCAATAATCATGAACTAATCATATTGATAGAAAAATTTAAAAAATCGATATAGAAAATAACGGTTTTAAAAAATTCAAATTTCAAAACCTTACAAATTGTTCGGTTGAAATAACATTTGTAAGGTTCTCATATTTTTGATCTGTTGAAAAAACGTATTTTTTGTGAATTTCTGTTAAAATCACATTTGAATATGCTTTAAAGTAAATTAAGTTATCTGAAACACAAAAGAAAAGTTAAGAAACGAGGTAAAATGTGCAAAAAATTATAAAAATTTTCATTGTTTTGATTCATTTTTTGGACTCTGGAACAAAACATGTGACTTTGTATGGATTCCTTGCCTCGATTTGAATAGATTCGATTTGAGTAGAAAATTTTCGGAACAAATAACTACTCAAATCGAGGACCCCCCAGTATTTACTTTCTTAACAAGTTATCATATTCACTCTTAGAGAGTTGTGGATGTTTTTAATTGCTTCAATCAACTTTTTATGATACGAAGAATAAAAACACTTAAAAGCTGGAACGTATATCTGAAATTCAAATTTAATGCAATGATCCAAATACTGTTGTATGGCTTTGACATTTGTATGGAATTTAAATTATTTAAAGCCGTTGTGTTTTCAAAGATTATAAAATCATCTAATAGAATTTATTTTCACATTTTAAATCTTAATTGAAATGTAGTTCTGACGAGTGTTTTATGCCATGTTGTGCAGGAAAAATTATCATTCATCAACGGTTTTTGAAAATTTGAATTTTTTTTAATGTGCATATTTTAGTACCCCTAGACTTCGGAAATTATTTCTCGTTCATCATTTGAGTCTATATTTTGAAGAGAATAGAAGTGTATGATAAGTTTTTTTAAAATTAATTATAGTATAATTAAATAATATATGATATTGTTAAAGTGTTTACAGTATAAAACAGTATAAAATGCATTAAAAATTGACATAAAATGTGGAAATAGAAAAGAGAATAGTGCAAAAACCTAAAAAAAATTAAAAGTTTTTTGCCTAAGAAAGTGTAAATAAATAATAAAGTAAAGTTTTTAAGTGATTTGGTGTGCAATTAGGATAATAAAACCTTCAAAATGATCATAAGGATTATACTAATATTAACAGTAATCATTACATCTATCGCTTTGGTAAGTAACACATTTAATTTTCTTATCAGATACATTACTGGATCTTTATGTGATATCGTTATGCAGTTTATTGAAAAGTAAAAAAAAATTGCAGTTAACCATTTGAGCTAATTAGCAACGTTTATATAATTACTTCCAATATTACTTGCTGTCTTCAAAAGCAGCAGAACTCACCTGTTAAATTCCAAAAATTTTTAAACACACAGCACAGCTTGGCTTTAAAATGTACATTTTAGCATCTCTCTTTTTAACACTGCATTCCAATGACTTACACAAAGAAGCAACATAAGAATATGGCATAAATAATTCAGTTTTTGTTGTCTCGCACATTCGTGTATGATTATAAATTAATAAAAAGGAAGGATAAAGACACAATCAGTGGTCAATAAAAAGAAATCTTACAGACAGAAATCGCGATAACATTGAATAACAGATAAAAAGATGTTACATATGCAGGCAAACGCGAGAGCAAGTTTCTCTTCTGATTAATGCTAGCTGTGCAAAATATTTTAAATTTATAATTTTTTTGGTGCGTGAAAAATATTATCGATTTTCTCCTTCATTTCTCGGTCAAAACATTGGATTCTGCATGACGTCACCGACACTGCTGATGATTTACGATTCATCTTATATGTACATTATATTTTCTGTGCATGTATATTCATAAATTCTACTCCGTCTCACTCGCTTTTCATACTCGTCGTATATACCTTTATTATTTAGTATAGTGTACATTTTATTCATACTTGCAACAACAATGACGAGTATTTTTTTTTGTTGAGTTGAGGAAAAAAGCTAGCGCAGAAGCCAAGTTTTTCATTCCTTTCATCGATCCGGCTTGTGTATCTGTTTTTAAACAAAAAAGCATTTAAATTATTTAAAAATGTGCGATAAAAAAATTTCAATTAAGTTCTCTTCAGTTGATTTTTCCATTTTCCCACAAAAAGAAAACAAGACTGAAAGGAAAATCCATAATGTCTTTCTACGCTTTAATAAAAAAAGAAATTGCTTTAATGCATTCGATTTTCTTCATTTTTTTAGTGCAAAGTTTTTTGTGTAAAACAGCAATTGACTGGACATTGTGAGCTAGATAGGAATAACTAGAACTGTTGACTAGGCGTCAATCTAGTCTCATATGTATCTGCTCGCAAACTTATAATCTGTGATAAATTGTCTTTGGCATTGCATACGCCTGCGATTCATTCTACGTTAGATTCGATCAGATTATAGTCAATTCAAGAACTTCCACATTGCGGTAAAACATTTTACATATTAATGTGTTTTGTTAATGCATATTCAGTTTAGACAGGAAGAGAAGAGTGGAGGATATCATTGAGTCTCGCAAGTTTTTCTCACAGTATGTGTAAAAAATGAAAAGTCGAACCTTGATGTGTACAGTATGCATATGAAGCTATTAAAATAATAAATAATTAGATACAAAATTAGAAATATATATTCATAGGGTCTTAAAATCAATTTTAAGGAAAATCATATTAGATTTTTAATTTCTTATTAATGAACGTTTTCAGTATTCATGTATGTTATTCCTTTTTATCGATATCATGCTATAGCCCTACTAATGTTTTTATGTACATCGCTGACCCCTTCTTGATTTCGAAAAATCATCAATAATTTAATATAAATCGTAAAGGAAATATTTCATGTTGTTGTTGCTTACTCTGCTCTGCTATACATGTTTTTCTTGATTCATTGCTTTCACGTGTATGAATTTTTAAGTAATAATTAAGAATATTATTGGTATTGCGCTTCAAAAATTGGACTATCGTAGTCGGTTGGACAGATAATTTCCAAGGATGTAGATTCACTTCAGCAATGTTTAAGTTCAATAATGGCAATAAAATGGGTTGGGAAAAGACGCGAATGAAATTCCTCTCTGTAGCCTACAAAAACAAGGCAAATCTTAGCAAAAAGTTTGTCCTATATAATACCAAGATAGTCAGCCATAACAGCATTTGATGGAAACCTAACAAGTATGCGAAGAAGAACAAGAAATAATAAATATAGGATGTCTTCTTTTCCATTTAATTGAATTATGAAGAATGTTGAATTTTTGGTTTCTTTGGTTTTCTTCCCATTATTTATCCTTGCTGCTTATAAATAATTAATAACATGTCGCGTGAGTGAGAAAATGCATAAATCGTGTTATACTGTATACACAAAGTCAGACATTACTTTACATGAACTTTCCACAAACCAAAACAATTGCAAACTTTTTAATATTCTCGGCTTACGTCCCTGAACTATTTTTTGTCTATTTTTTCATTCATTTCACTCTTTCTCGTCTTAAATATTGGCCAAGATTCTATTTATGTACGCTTAAAATCGATTTTTATGATTCCACATGACTCAATGATAACACAGAAAAAAAAAAAATAAGAGATTTTCAGTGTCAAAAACTTTATTTCATCTTCTTCTCGACAAGATTAATACACAAAAGGCCATTAAAGTTTATCTTATTTTATTTCTCACAATCAAGTCATTGGAAGTAATTTTTCTAATGACGATGACTTGCTTTTATTCATGGCATGAAATGATTTTCTTCAAACTACACACAGTTCAATTACTTTTAATCAAAATTACAGTCCTAGCTTAGATGATGTCTGTTGCATGTGCATTACTCGATGCTTGCATGAATTATTTATCTTATATTTTTTTTTATTTTCAAGATAGAAATTTCCTGTGAAATCATCTATAAATTTAATATATACTAAGTATAGATATCTCTTGCTGCTGGCCATCAGTATTTTTAAAATCTTTATAAAAATCGACACTTGCTCAGTGACGTACTACAAATTTATTTATTGAATTCTCAAATGACTCACTCGCCAAATTTTATTTTTCAACTATATATTACACTGTGATTCGTATTAGCACAAAAGACATCATTAAGCACTTAAGTTTTTTTTTTTTGTTTATCCATTAAATTCGACTTTGCGTATAATTTTGTGTTCTTGTATTCTATGGTAATATTTCTACCAATGTTTTAAATTGATATAGTGATTTATTAAAGCGCAAGTTTCTAAACATGTTTTTTAAACTGAATCTCGAAACACAAGCTTAACCAAGTTCTCAGATCACACATTGTAGGTTTTTGATGTGGCATCAATTCAAGCTTAAAACTTTAATGTCCAACTTACTCCCTTGATACAATAATTACTGGATATATCAATAAATTCATGAGAGTCCAAGCTCATTGCTTTCACAGCTTTCCATGTGCTTTTGGTCTATCAGCCTTCAATTAAGTTTCCAATTTCACCAAACTTGCCTTAAAGAATCATATTTATGGAAGTAAAACTCAAAGAAATGCATTTGACCATGCATGAGAGATAAGTGGATGAAACATGCAACTTTACAAATTGCTTAGGACGGCGACCCCAAAAAAGAAACACTGATAAATGCATTACAACTGAAACTCTTTAAAATTTGCTAAATAGATAAACTTAATTTCACCATTATTCGCAATAATCACGAATAATAGCTTTTTTTTTTAAAAAAATGTAGAATCATCATAAGTCGGATATTGTTCTGCTTCGAATGATCTGAATATGAATATAAAGATAATCTCATTTTACACCAAAACTCAACAGTTGTCAGTTGATCACATCCGCTGTCAACATGAAATTAATTCAAGGTCAAAGTCGTTCAGTCTAATTGTTTGTGAAATATTGCTTTTTTGTGTGATCTTTCGACCTGTCATAATTACTATAAATATTATTGTGCAGGAATACAAATTAACTAAGCGTAAACGTTTATATATGCTCACCGATAATGCACATCAATAAAGTTAAGATATATTTACATAGAATCGATAGAATGGAAAATAAATAACAAGAGATTGTTAATAAGAAACTCAAACAACATGTCACAGCTCTTAGAAACTCCCTTGTTAAGAAACTAGATTAGATAATAGCTACGTGTATTATTTACAAAGAAATGTATGAATTTGTGCCAAAGAATTAGAATTGTGTGAGTCAGGTGATATCATAAAATTTTGACTTGAATCAGTGTCAATTACATTTTATGAGCTCAACTTGATAAATTGTTTTTTTCAAAGCGTAAAGTCGTGACGCATTGATCGAAGTCTCTGCAGCAGATTTGCTAACATATTGCATCCTCAACACAAACAGTCAATAAGGAAATTTATTTATAACAATTTACTCTAAATTCTGACTGAAAGTGTTCACAATGAACATCAAATTCCGGTTTTTTGGATGGCAAATTTGAGACTTTTTACTTTTTGTTTACAAAGTGAAAATAAATTTTTTTTTTGCAGAAGTATTACAGCTTCTGTTAATGCAAATAATGTAAAAAGATGGATTAAGTATTAACAGATACACTTTGTTTAAACAAAAAAAAAATTATTTCTCCATCTTCTGTTGCTTCGCTTTTTCAATAAACTTGCAAACGTACGTGAATTTCATTACACTTTTTCGCACATTCATCATGAATGGTGATGATGATTCAACGCTTTAGTATTCCACAAAGTTTTAAGTCGTTCAAACAATAGCTAAGACATATATGTAAAAATATAGCTGGCAATAATATGAATTTATAACATTTTTTTTCTAATTATTCCTTTACAGTCACTTGGTCAATCATCAAACAAAGAAAATGATGGACATTGTATATGGCGCGGAGTTTGCTACAATGATGGTTCAAAAAAGAAAAATTGTGCCTACAATGGAACTGCACTTCCATTGGATTCAACGGGAGTTGACGCTCTAATGCAATGGTGCTCGCATATGCTGCCTAAAGATAAAGCAGATAATGTGTTAACGTGCTGTGATAATGAACAGGTAAATCCAATATTTTTGTTTGTTTCTATTTCTAACGATCCATATTGATTCACAGTTGATTGAGTTCAATAATCAAATTAAGCTAGCTTCTGGCATTCTTAACCGCTGTCCATCATGTATGAATAACTTTGTCAGACATATTTGTGAGTTTAGTTGCAGTTCACATCAATCGGACTTTATAAAAGTGAAGAAAACTGAATTCAATCCAGACAATGAGAATAGTAAGTTCTAATCTCAATCTTGAGATTATTTACAATTTTAATCATAATTCCATTTCGGTTCCTATAGAAGAATATATTGATGAGATTGACATCTATATCGCCGACGAGTATTTTAGTGGAGCATATGATTCATGCAAGCATGTGATATATCCATCAACAGGACAGCTAGCGCTAGACTTGATGTGTGGTGAATATGGTGCTGCTAAATGTTCCCCAGCTAGATGGTTTGGTTCAATGGGTGATTCAAATAATCCTTTTGTTCCATTCCAAATTAATTATTTGCCACAAAATTCTTCAAGTCGTGATGATGAAATTAAGCCATTAAATCCAAAGGTCATACCATGCAATCAGCAGGTTGATAGATATGATGTAAGAATTGTTTTGGCATTTCCTTGAAATTCATTCAACCTTAACTCAAAACTTTTATTCAATACTTATATTTAATATAGGGAAAAGGGAAGTTGCCGCCATGTTCATGTGTCGATTGTCAATCGTCATGCCCGATACCTCCAAAACCAGAACCCATTCCACAGAAATTTGTTATTTGGGGTTTGGATGGATATGCTGTGATTATGTTTTTCATCTTCTTATTGGGAAGTTTAATATTTATAATGGGTGCAGGATGTTGCTCAACATCCGAATCGGGTAAGTCTCATTACGATCTATATCAACTTTTTCAATTTGATCCTTGACAAAATAACAAGAAATTGGATAATTTTTTATATAAAATCCAAGAAATTTCTACGCTCCACTAACCAATGCCTCTGAAAAAGAGAAAGAAAATGCCTAACACAAGAAAATAATAACATGCAAAAAAAAGTGTGAGATATATCCCTTAATTTGAATAATTTCTTCGCCCCATTTCTCATTCGTAATGAGCTTTCATAACTAATGAGACTGCCTCCAGAACCTTTTTCTGTATAATAATAATTTGGAATAATAATGTTTAACCCTGACTCGACTGAATTACAATGTATTGGTGATGATTAAAAATAATGAAAGAAACGAGGAATTTATTCTAGATAAGATTATAAGTCGTTTTCAATTAAAAGCAGTGTCATCGCATGAAACCCCGAAAAAGTGACGAAATATAACGCAGGTGTTCAAAAACTGATAAGAATGCCATTACGGTTTTTATCTCTCATTTTTTTTATACCTTTACATTTTATGATGACCGAAAATCATAATTTTTTTACGTATGAATTTTTTTATCGCAAAGACTAGGAAATAAAGCCTTACTTTATTTATTCGATTGAAGTTGCGATAAGATTTTTTTTAATAACAACACTTACTCATTGACTAAATTGGGAAAGTAAATGACTCAAAACATTGCAAACAATAATGATCTGTATAGTTCATTCATTTGGTTTGAATACAATTGTTTAAGTAGAAAAAAATAGTCAGACATGCTTAGAGAAGAATTTTACTTATCAGTAAAACGGTTGGATTCCCCATTAGTCACAAAAATTAGCTTCGTTTAAAAGCTTTCAATATGTTTCATATTTTATTAACTTAATTAAGAAATAAAATGTATTTTCTTCTTTCTCTATCGTGAATTTATGTCTTCGTTACATGTCAATCGAAAATATTTCGGTCTCATTTTACAGCAGATTATATTTTTAAATGAATGAAAAATCAAATTAATGAGTTCGAGACAGTTCTTTCATTATATTGAGTGATTCAGGGGTGTATCTAGAAAGTTATTGAAAGAGAGTTATCTTGTGACGACGCTTACATATTTGAGACAGCAAATCGACAGCATAAAGTACTTGTTGCATGTAGCTAGACAAAAAGGTGTACAACTATCAGAGACATTTTGAATTGACAAAAAAAGAAGAGCTATGGAAACTTTTCAAATGATATTTGCACATAAAATAATATGCATTTGCGCTATAATTAAGCAGATATAAAGCAATTCCAAAGTATATTGCTCGTAAAGAAGAAAATTGTGTCGTTTACGTAGATTGACATTTATGTAATTTTCTCCTTAATTTCTAGAACGAAAAAACTAGATGAACTCACTATAAAATTTAGTGAGGGCTGTCCAAGCGTGTCAGCGATTATAATGAAGAAATTGCGTATAATTTATGTTAATATCCAAAAAGACAACAAAAACTGTGAATTTGCTTTGCCAAGATACGTAAAAACGAAGAATTGGCACATTATGATCAATATCGTGAAAATTCATTAACAAAAGCAGCAAAAAAATTCATAATTTCGTGCTGGCTGAAAAGAGTTTTTTCACCATTGTTCTCATATATTTTTCCATTTTCTTTTTGTCGTCGACTGATTTACATTTCTAGTGAGCGGTATTCTAATTATGAGCTATAATTCGAGAAAGGACTGTTCTCTAGTCGTTATTCGGAACATGTTAAAATTTGTAAGGCAAATAATCTAAGCGGGTCGATGACTGTAGAAATATAATAATAATTTTTGATTAATTAGACTTTTGCTAGAATGAATACATTTCCCATATAATTTCTACTTAGTGTCCATGATAATCGTACTGGAAAATACTAAAAGAGCCATGAAAAAGTTGATCGAAAGCACTAAGGCTCAAAACTTCGTACAAAAGAAGTGAAAAATGATGAATTTACAACATGAAACTTTTCTTTGTTAACAAAGGTCATGCTTTCTTCTATTCTATATCTTCTTCTGTCTTTCCTTCCTCAAAAATATTTTGTTTTTCTATTCTTTTCCGAATCTATGGTAAAATTTTTTGTACTTAACAACCCTCGAATGTCTCTTCTTCTTTCTTTTGGTTCAATGAACTTTCTCGAAGCTTTCTTAATCTACCAAACAGTGATTCTTGAGCTTTATTGTGCGACATAGCATAGATATATTCTTAAGTGTTATAAATAGAATGACTTTATAGACTCCCTCTCTCCTCTTCTGGATTTAATTTCCTGACAGCACGCTCAATAAAATCTTGATTGTCATATACTCTCGGAAGAAGTTAAATTAAAAATCAATATTGTCTGAAGTCAAGTCAAATCGACTCAATTTACTCATTTAAAAATCGTGCATTGTTCAAGTTAATTTCAAGCTCTGCTTTAAATTCCTAACAGCTGCTTAAAAAACTGTAAATTCAAATTCGACAATAATGTGGCGCTTAATTTCTTACCAATTTGTCTACAGCAATAATAGTCGAAAAAACAAAAGCTTAAGAATCACTGTCATTAATCATGAAGAAAAGAAGAAAACAAACTCATCCATTATACTAGCCCATTTGAAAGTCTGAAAAAAAATCTCGAAAATAATTCAATCTAATAGAAATTTATTTTAATTCACAATACATCTTAATCGAAGATTTCAAATGAGATCATTATTAATTTCATGAAAAAAATCTTTATTTCTTTTTAATGAATGCACACACACACACATATGGATATGCATACAAAATAAAAACTTATTTATAAATAAATCAAAAAAAAACGAAAAAAATATCATGTAATACAGAGGTGTCGGTGGAATCATATTTACATGAGCAGATTGGAAGACGATTGGCCGAAGATAGATTATCGTCATCTGGTGATATTGCGACTGATCGTGAAGATTCTCCATTGCAGAGCAAACGTTCGAGTATGTCAAGTAAAAACATTTATTTCTCTTAATTGCTCCCTACTATGTGCTTAACATCTATCGTGTGCATTAGTTCTCATTCAAAAGCATTATTACTAATTAACGTCACATCAATTTATATGGCACTAAAGCATACTCTATGTTTTCACCATCAAAAAATAACATTCCATATAAATATAACAAAAAAAACATCACACGTGCATTCACACATTCACAATACTGCATACTCATTAATACATATCCTTATCGCCATTATAATAATATTCATATAATAATTTTATTTGTTGTTATCGTTGTTGCCGCATTTCTTTGTGTGTAAATATACTAGAACAAAAGATTGAAAAAAATAATACCAACAGTAAAAAAAAATCAATAGTATAAAAAGCTGTTTGTAGTGTCGAAAAATCAATTTATAAATGTCATTCGATGTATTTTGTGTCCCTTTCCATATCCTCCTCCTCAATCAAGAAACCAACTCAGTCTCATGCTCATAAATTTTTTGTATTGTGTATTTGTATCGGGGGTCGTTTGTTCATGACGTCAAATGTTTGTGGGGCTATGAAAATCCATTGAGGAATAGAACGAACTTCAAAGGACAACATCATCCATGGAATGTGAATTTGGGTTCCAAAATTTGATTTTTTTGATGATGGACATTAATAATAACTAAAACGATCCCATTCCTAAATCAAAAATCTAATAAAGCCCTGATAAACGTCATTAGCAAGCAACCCGTATGAAAAAATAGTCAATTCCTTGTTTGCCTCAAACCTCCCCGAAATCCTACAAACAATAAAACTGAAAGGAGTAGTAAATCAAACATGAACTTACACAAACCCACATCATTAAATAATAATGCGATTATTTTATGTTACTCATCAGAATCATATAGTATGTTTGCTATCAGACCCAGCTTTATGTGTAGATTAGAGAAAAAAAATTGAATCGCAATAATAAACAATGTCAATTTTATATGTATGTACATTATATAATTATAATAATAGTCAAAGGAAATACTGCTTATTGTAATCGTACTTAAATAATTTTCCACAAAAATAAATATAAAAATGATAATTATTTTGCTAATTTTCACGCAATAGGTCAATCATATGATAATGATCAGGAATTGAGAACACATCCGTCGGCAATTATTGATAATGAACTTGAGGAAGAAAGCGGATATTTCGAAAAGCTCGGCGCAAAAACAGAACATTTTCTCGAACAATTTTTCACTGTGTGGGGTACATGGTGTGCAAATAATCCATGGAATGTTTTATTACTAGGTATGCAGTTTGATTACATTATGTAGAAGACTATAATAAGTTTACAAAGTCAACCGAAATGCATGCAATGAGTAATTATATACAAATTTTTTTTTTATTTTCTTTGTGTGTCCTTTAATCTAGGTTGCATTTTCATTATATCCTTGGGCTATGGCCTTCGATTTCTGCATGTTACTACAAATCCCGTTGAATTATGGGCTTCGCCTCATTCACGATCGCGTATTGAGCGAGATTATTTTGATACACATTTTGGGCCATTTTACCGTATCGAGCAAATTATCATAACATCAAAAAATATCAAGCCACTCGTTCATCAAACATCAAGTGGAGTTGTCACCTTTGGCCCTGTCTTTAATGAGACATTCTTAATGAAAGTTCATGAGCTACAAGAATCAATTAAGGAGATTGATGGAGGCTCGCTCAAAAATATTTGTTTTGCTCCACTCAGATCGCCATACTTGGACGAAGAAATTGATGTGTCACAATGTGTCGTTCAGAGTGTTTGGGGCTACTTCCAGGATTCCATAGAGACATTCGAAGAAACATCTGATGATCCTGATGGATTTGTTGAAAATTATTTGGATAGATTCCTTAAATGCTTTAATAATCCTTATGACACTGACTGTTTAGCTCCGTACGGTGGCATTATTGATCCGGCTGTTGCACTTGGTGGATTTTTAAAGCCTGGCGATACATTATCAAAGAATCCACATTATGAAAATGCGACATCAGTTATTCTTACATTCCTTGTTAATAATCATTATAACGTATCAGAATTGACAGATGCTTTACTTTGGGAAGAGAAATATGTAGCATTAATGAAGAATTGGACATCAGATGGAAATACAACAAAGTATCTTGATATAGCATTTACATCAGAGCGCTCAATTGAAGATGAATTAAATCGTGAATCAAAATCAGATATTTTTACAATACTCGTGTCATACCTCCTCATGTTTGCATATATAGCAATCTCTTTGGGACATGTTGATGAATGTGATCGAGCCATGATTGATAGTAAAATAACATTAGGAATTGGTGGTGTTATAATTGTTCTTGCATCCGTCGTTGCGTCTGGTGGATTTTTCGGATATATGGGCGTACCTGCAACTCTCATCATCTTTGAAGTTATACCATTTTTAGTTCTTGCCGTTGGCGTAGACAATATATTTATTTTGGTACAAACTCATCAGCGTGACGTTAAACGACCTAACGAAACAAATGCAGAACATATTGGAAGAACTCTTGGCAAAGTTGGTCCTTCAATTCTCCTCTCATCAATTAGTGAATCCACATGCTTCTTTCTCGGTGGATTGTCTGATATGCCTGCTGTGAAGGCTTTTGCATTATATGCTGGTATGGCACTCTTCTTCGATTTTCTGCTACAAATAACATGCTTTGTGAGTTTATTAGCATTGGACACAGCACGGCAATCGGAAAATCGATGGGATGTTTTATGCTTCTTGCGTGGATCGAAAAAAGATTCAGGACATTCGACACAAGTAAAGGAAACTGTACTTTATAAATTCTTCAAAGTCATTTACGTGCCTTTTCTAATGAAAAAAGTCGTAAGGATGTTTGTCATGGTATTCTTCTTCGGATGGCTATGCTCAAGTATTGCTGTCGCTCCACACATACCAATTGGACTTGAACAAGAGCTGTCAATGCCAAAGGATTCATTCGTGCTTAAATATTTCCAGTATTTGCAAAGCTATCTCTCCATTGGACCTCCAGCGTATTTTGTCGTTAAGAATGGCTTAAATTATTCAAATTCGCTTGATCAAAATCTAATATGCGGTGGACCTTATTGTAATTCCGACAGTTTATCAACGCAACTTTATATCTCTTCGAAAATACCCGAATCAACCTTTATCGCAAGACCTTCAAGTAGTTGGATCGATGACTACTTTGACTGGTCTCAACTGGAAGCATGCTGCAAACAAAGTAAGTTTCTACTTTCTATTCGATATATTTTTTTTACGACGATATTAAATTTGATTAAATTTATTCATCATAATAAAAATATGATTATGAAATCCACAGGAGATGGTGATTTCTGTCCGCATGGAGACTATGAATGTCAATCTTGTAACATAACTCTAAACAATATGACTCGTCCAATACCAAGTCAGTTCGATAAATATGTCAGCTTCTTCCTTGAAGATAATCCCGATTCATCATGCGCAAAGGGCGGACATGCAGCATATGGAGCTGCCGTTAATTTACAGAAGACAAATCGATCGCAGGCAGTTGGTGCGAGCTGTTTTATGACGTATCATACGATATTAAAATCCTCATCTGACTATTTTGAAGCATTAAGATCAGCACGAAAAATTTCTGACAATATAACGAAAACAATACATGCATCATTGAGGTTGTCAGGACGACCGGAATCAGAAATACAAAATGTTGAAGTTTTCCCATACTCAGTCTTTTATGTTTTCTACGAGCAATATTTGACAATGTGGCCTGATACAGTTAAAAGTATGGGAATTTCCGTTCTATCAATTTTCCTCGTTACATTCCTACTTATGGGATTTGATATACACTCATCAATTGTCGTTGTCATTACAATTACAATGATTGTAATCAATATTGGTGGACTAATGTTTTATTGGAATATATCATTGAATGCCGTCTCACTGGTTAATCTCGTTATGGCAGTAGGAATTTCAGTTGAATTTTGTTCACATCTCGTACACAGTTTTAGTGTGTCTGTAGAAGATACTAAAGTAAAGAGGTCAGCAGATTCCCTCACAAAAATGGGAAGTTCAATATTCTCCGGAATTACACTGACGAAATTTGCTGGAATTCTCGTACTTGGTTTCGCTCAGAGCCAAATCTTTCAAGTATTCTATTTCCGAATGTATCTTGGAATTGTCGTGTTTGGTGCAGCACATGGATTGATCTTCTTGCCTGTCTTACTATCTTATATTGGTGAGTATACGAGAATTAATAACTTTTTCTTCATTGACATACTAACATCAGCATGAAACTTAAAGCCCATCCAGTCATACTTTACATACAAAAAAAGTTATTACAGCTCTGATTTGAAATTTTTTTTCTTTCTTATCTTTGTCCTTAAAAAAATGAAAATTAAATCTTAAAAAAATCTTTAATTGGCATACAAATCACAGGAGCTCCAATTAATAAAGCAAAACTGGCACAGTATCGACGACGAGCAAAGGAAATGCAGGAGACGTCATTGTCAACCGTAAGATCATCTTGAAAAAAAAAATCTTTAACTCTTTGCTTGGCTATTAACACACTTTGTATGATTTATGATGTTGCCATACACATGTCTTATCCTTAGGTGCCAGTTCCTAGATTCTATTTCTTTATTTATCTATCTATCTTATTTTTGGCTATTTATCTTGCACTCTTATTTTATTTTAAATTACACAACAAGCTTGAACATTGTAAACAACTTGAAACTAGTTTAATGTGATAACATCAAGTGGTAGCCATATGTAGCTACAGGTGATGTTAAGTTTGATTTTGCATCGTTCGAGTTATACCGGCAGATCATGTTAAGTTGGAGGTTTAGTTATCATATTTCGCATATTGCGTAACAAGTAAAAGCTTTAATTTCCATAATTTTTGATGCTAATCGAGCTAGCCTTAACATTATTTAAGAGATAAGGAAAAGTTTGGTGATCAAATTTGCATTAATTTCCATAGATGATCAAGTTATGTCTAGATTAAAATCAGATGTTATTTTTTCAATAGTAAGTCAAGTTTGAGGTCACATAAAAATTTTGCAGAAGGTTCTTGACTATCAATGCTTTTATGATAATTTTATTGCTAACTTAATTAATCGGCTAATGGTCTTGGAATCTTATTGATCTTCTTTTTCTTGGTATATCTTGGTCTTGGATATTTGCTTTAATTAACTTACGCAGGGTTACTAATTAATTTGTAAGGTTAAGATTGTAGCTACGTGGTGCTTCCAGGGAATTGATCAGTTCCACACCCTTGAAATCCTTTTAATTAAACTGACAACTTCATCTTACTGACCATAAATTTTATGACAGACATTTATTTATCGCCTGTAAATCCCACTGAGCTACAATGTCAAACATGATTTCATTACGACGTAGATAAACTTTTATTCTCATTACATCGAAAGACTGTCATGAAATTTTTAGTAGCTTGACTTGAAATAGAAGCTGAAAATTTTATTGATTCTTATGGGAATTTTTCATGTTTTGGGGTCACTCACTTATGACGTCCGTTATATATTAGAATGAAGAATGTATGTGTATTCATTACTTTGAGTGACGTCATTTGTGAACGACCCCAATATGCTATTAATATTAATGTTATTTGCTTCTAAATTTTTAATTTCATTTCACTTATCACTTATTTCTATAGAAAAATGTTTATCACTATTTATTCAATGTTTTCGTTTCATTACAAAAACATTTTAGACTGAAAATTTCCCTATCTTCTCTTTATAGGCGTGATGCGCCGTAAATATCGACGAGATAACGATCGAATCGTCTCCACCACAAACACCAGTAATAGTTCTAAAGAAGAAAGCATTGATGAAGATAAACCTCTTCTCGTGCAACAACAGCAGCAATCAGATCAACAGCCACATTCCTCCACCTACGGATCTATAAACTAGTAACTTTCTTTTCCTATTTATATTTAAACTGAGAAATCCTTTCGTTCTTAACGAAAATGAAATCATATTTTTTTATAAACGAATTGTAAGAGACAGGGAATCGTACTCATCAAAACTATATAAATAATAATAAATACAGAGATATAGAGAAGCTTGTTGTTGCAGCTTCAAACATACGTATAAAGTACATAGAGGGAAATCACGAAATTTAGGAATAAAAGGATCGTGTTGACATGAAAAGGTATGGCAATCGAGGGGTTTACTAATCTCTAGCTTGTTCTGAGGATTTTCTTTATCTAGAATTGTATCGACAAAGACTTTTTATTATCAATCCTAAATAATCTCGAATAGTTCTGTTAATTCTCAGTGTTCGTGTCTATTCTAAATCATTGAGGATTTCTTTTGAATCTGCTTGGATGTTTGTGAGGTTTGATTTTGTTTTTTTTTTTGTTCTTTCAATAAGCTTCTTTAATGTGAATGATCTTGAAAAGATTAGTAGGTCCTTGTACCTTTAACACTCCTAGTTTAATAAACTTTCATGAACATTTGAAGAGACTATTAAATTCTGAAACCAAAACTTAATCCCACTTTAAAACTTAATCTTTAAACAAATATTCAAAAAGTTTTAATTATTCCAGTCTTAACTTGAAAACTCATCCGATGCCTTTAAAATAAATCTCTGTGTATGAAACGCTTTTGAAATGCTTTGTTATCCTTAAATTTCCTGATTTTCCTTATCATACAAAACTTCAATAAATTATCGTCGGTCGACACTGAATATAAAAGAAATACCTAACAATAAGAGAAAATAATAAAATCATAATTCATACGCTTTTGTATCATCACATATGAACCACAAAACTATCTACTACTAAATTTTTTTGAATAATATGAAGAAAAAAAAAGCTCGTGAATTAATTAAATCAGTTGTGAGGCAAAAACTTTTGTTTTTTCGAAAATTTCAAAACATTTTTTTTTTAATTAAAGAAGTAACGTTCAATAACAAAAAAACTTAATAAATGAAAATTGAGGAATCATGTTCCTTCCTTACAAATATTTACTAAATTTAATAAATGTAAATATGTCTTTATTAAACTGTAATGAATGAGTGAATGTTGAAAAGTATTAAACTAGGGTAAAACAATGACTATAATCGTCTTTTGTGGTTGATTTTGGTATTAGTGGATGTCTATAGTTCTTATAAATCTCAAAATAAAGGTTGAGAATCAAATGGATTTAAAACCAGTCCTGAATTTAACAAACAGGAACAGGAACAACGGCAAACCTGCTTAAACTAAAATTGACCACAAAAGATTTTGTTTGTGAACTTTCCATTCCTTTTTCCTCTCAATTCGACCCCAAAAAGAAAATTGAAATGCAAAAAGGCATGAAAATTCTGTAAGAAGTGAAACTTTTATTGTCTCCGTATGCTGTGGATGTTTATGTTGAAAAGTGGAGACAAAAACTAGTTTTAATGATGAAATTGCCTCTCATATCTAAGAAAATGTTGAAAATGATGATTCAGTTAGGCCAAAAACATTACTTTTTCTGTCGTTATCCTAATCTTGTGTTGATGCAAGCTTTTTTATATCAAAAAGTAATAATTAGAGCCATGTGCATATATACTTATTAAAAAAAATCTTTACATTGCATAATAAGAATAAGATGAGCCTTAATATGAACTTAAAATGGATGACAATGAAATGAAAAAAAAAATCTTCAAAATTCAAAATAAAAAGTTCTAAATTAGGTAATTTTTTGCATTTTGTAGCTTTTCTCAAAATTATTAAGTAAAAACTTTTTAGAAAATTTGATAATAAGAAAAACTTCTAATTGTAAACTGTATTGGAAGAATAACTGAAAAATTAACGTGAAACTGAAGAAGACATAAAGAAAAATTTCCATTTTTATTGAGTATATGCAATGACTTGAAACGAAAAGTATTTTGGAACAGATACTATAAAAAATAAATATTTAAATGTTTTTGCAAGGGTTTATGGGGGGTTAGTTGGAAATTTTCTAATGGCATGATCAGTTGATTTATTTTGATTACACTTTGTAGATCTCAGGAGATTTATAACATCCTGTCGACATTCACAATTTCTCACCCGTAATTGAAAACTTGGCAATGATTCCATTTTTTCGGTTCTATTTTCTTATTTTATGAAAATGCTGATGGAAATAATCTTTGCAAGACTGAATTATTAATGGATGCAATGATGACTTTTTAAACGAATCGTGTCCAATCTTGTGCCATTTTAAATGTCAGTTAACAATTGAAGATTGAACTGTTAGAAACTTTCCAATCAATCCTCAAGCCCGAAAGATTTTTTTTTGAAATTTTTAAGACTTTTTAAGAAACAACATGGAATGCGTTCTTGGAATGAACATAAAATTGGTAATGTTTTTAATTATGTTATTGAATTCTGTAGAAAAAGAACATTAGATTTAAAGCTTGACTAGACTGGTAGATGGTTAATTATAATTTTATGTATTATTTAAATATACGTACTTTATTTAGTTATTGCTCTCAAAATTATTATATAAAGCATATATGCTCAGATATATTTGGTGATGTTTAGTATTATTGTTATTCTTTGTTATTTTATTGGAATATTTCATTCATATTTAAACGAATAATTGCCTTTAAATGAAGTAATAATTAATGAATATAAGATGAATACAAAATAGCAGATAATAAGGAGCTTTCAATAATAAAATTAACATAAAAATGAATGTGAGTGTGAGGTAAGTGCATTTATGTGCATAGTGAGAACAAGAATGCAAAATGAGTTGTTAATTTTATCTAAAATTGTCAGAGAGTCATAAAACATTGAAATAGACAAAGAAATCACATGATCACAAAATAAATAATAATAATATATTTTTCAAATCTCGATTTATATCCCATCCAAACAGAGACACACACACAAAATAAACCTTTAAATAAACAGATGATCATTTTATTTTTTATTGAATTTATTTGACTTTTACATCTAATGAAAGATTATTAAGAATGCAGTTGTTTAAAAACTATGTATTTTTGTGAATTAATTTTATAATAAAACAAGGAATAAAATTATGTGTAAATTAAGATCTTTTAATATTAAACTTTTCAACATATTTCCGGTTTTTAACAGTTAAATAATTTTTGAATTGTTCATCATTAACTTGGATCGCACAATTCGGTAATTTTTTCAGGATTTGATTGTTTACTAATAAATTTATAGCATGTTTTTAAGGAATTTCCAAAAACTTAATTTACCCAGCAATTTAAGGTATTTCAAGCTACAGTTAAATGTAGGACGATCATTTACTGTCTCATCAACATATTCATATCCAATAAAAGTTCAATTAGACAGAGAATTAGAGCAAAAACTAGAAAGTGAAGAAGTCAAGGTAAGTTTACAATAATTGCGCAAATAAAATAACAAAAATAATCACTTTATAGCCACGAAAACATTATGGAGTCAATAGCATACCAATTTCCACATTACCAGATAGAATCCTCGATACAATGGAAAAAGTAACAGGCGATCAATCTATTGGAAATTTAATAAATAAAGGATCGACATTTTCAAAGTATTTAGTGAGTCGGAAAGCACCAATGGAGGATCAGAACCTAAGAGAGAAGATCCGTGAACTGACAGAAATAGTAGAAAGTGATCCAGTAAAATATAAATTGCCAGCAACTCTTCCAGATCCAACAAACGAGCAAGCAGTAAAATTTTACAATGAGATGAAAAGGAATCGAGTACAGACATTAATGCATCAGAGAGTTTATGCATGGCAAGCAATAGAATATGATGAATATAAGTCACTGCTGTATCTTTTTGGAAGAGCACCACAAGAGTATGCGTCATTAATGAGGATATTTAAGGAAATTGAAAGAAGAGATGAATATTTTACACCAAGAACATTCTTTGATTTCGGAAGTGGCGTTGGAACTGGCGTATGGGCAGCATCAGAACTTTGGAAGTCATCAATATATGAATATTATCTTGTTGATGCATCAAAATATATGAATGACTTGTCAGATCTCATATTAAGAGACGGAGATAATAATAAAAACATCTCTTTAAAGCACGTCTATCAACGGCAATTTCTACCTTCACGAGATCAAAAATATGACATTGTATTATCAGCATATTCCATGTTTGAGCAACAAAATCTCAGTGAACGTCTTAAAACTGTTAATAATTTATGGAATAAGACCGAAAACTATTTAATTTTTGTCGAAAATGGAACAAACAGTGGATTTCAGTTACTGAATGAGATTCGTGAATTTTTAATGGACTTGAAAGATCAAAATAATGAAAAAGCTTTCATCTTCTCGCCATGTCCACATACTTCTGAATGTCCACGATTCAAATTGAATGACGGAACTCCATGCAATTTTGAAGTCAGATATAATAGCCTTCCATTTTCAGGACCATCCCAAATTCATAGTCACTTATACTCATATTTAGTCATTAAAAAGGGTGAGTCTAATGTCACTGCAGACAAGTGGCCAAGAATTGTTAGACCAACATTAGTCAAAAGTAAGCACACGATATGTCGAATGTGTACGAAGGAAGGAAATCTTCAAGAAATTATTTTCACACAAAAACAGCATGGTAAGCCTGCATATCGCTGTGCTAGACATTCTTCTTGGGGCGATCAATATCCAGCAGAAAGCATGGAATCATATGTAAAGGAAACGAAAACGACAAGGATAAGAGCACAAAATAAACTGAAATATGGAGCAATAAATGGAGACGACACGCAAGTTGTGGGTGGTTAGATGATATAATGTTTTATTACTGTTAGCTTCTAAAGACATTTGTCCATGAGAAAAGGAAATAAATATTCTAGAAAATAAATCATATATGGTTATTATAGTTTTGATTCTAAATGCCAATGCCTTTTCATAGCACCGACATTCAACTATCTTGTCCAATAGTTCCATTATTTTTGGATTTGTTCGAAAAAAAGAGAGAGATAAATAGAAAGAAAAATAATAGGTGTAAAGGAATTACAAAATATACCGGGAGTAATACAGATACAGATTATTTAAAATAAAAAATATATAGAAGTTAAATGATGAGGATATTGGCATATGATGGATGATTTCTATTGACCGGACGAATATTTTTCACTTCTGTTACGTTCTTTAATGTTTTAATGACTTGACGAAATCAGAGGCACTTTGATTTTCTTCCAATAATGAATCTCTCAACTGCATTATCTTATTCAATGCACTCTTATGCTTATCGCTCTTTGAAAATTTGTAACGAGCTCCGTCAATCAGCTTATCAGTGAGATAGTGCAACCATAACAAATTTGTGTACGGATCGTAGCGTTTAAAGTCGTTCCTGCAAGTGAAAATGAGAATATAAGGACTATATAGCATAAGGGAATAAAGAACTTACTCTAGACGATATCTCATCAAGCGATAAATATCAAACTGATAATCTCCGCTGCTTTCAAAGAGTTCCTGGTCTTTTGCTAAGTTGTCATAAATAACAGCACCGTCATATACCATACGACTCAATGTGAAATCAATGATAGTTGCCTTAACACCATAACTTGGTATTTCGTAGACTTTTCCGTCTACATGATATTTTAAATATTTCTGATTGGTACGAGCGATAAGAATATTTCCCCAATGTAAATCACGATGTTCAAACTCAAACTTATTTTCAGCAACAGCAAGTGTCAATGCAACCTAGACGAGAAAGGATAAAAAAAATAAGAGATTTGTAAATATTTTGTAGCAAACTACTTTTAATGTGTGGATTCTTAGCAAGCTATTTAAGCCCCTTTAATTGTTTTGGAAGGCTGTAATTCTTTCGTATGTACTAAAACACGTGGACTTATGATTCTGATCTTCTTAACTGTATCTTTTATTACTTGAAATTGATGCTTAGCGATAAAACCTCTTTATCTGTAACAATTATTTAATGTTAATAACAATCATATGTTTGTTTCCTTAAAAACTTACAATAATTTTCCAGTAATTAATAGAAAAAGGAAAGTTTCTCAAAGCTGGTCTCAATTTCTGTCTCAATAATATATAATTAAGTGTTAATTCAACTCCAACTATTAAATTGACACGCGGTTTGCTCTTCTTAATATCTTAATCTTAATTATTATACAAATTCTATACTTTATCGTATAATTAATTAACAAATTTTATGTGACGCACGTTTGCTCTTGATTTCTTGACTAACTCTCGTCCCTCGCGTATTTCGAAAATTCGAAAGTTTCAAAAAGGCATGACAGTTGTAAATATATTGCTACAATAGCCTTGTTCTTCTTAAAAAAAATTTAATTTTTTTAGAAGCCCATTACATAATTCATTAAACTTATTCATATATTAATCATCTAAAGTTCGTAATAAATCCTCTAATTCTGGATTGTAATCTTTCATGCTTCGTACATCAATTACATGTTGATTCTTAAATTTATCTATAACTTCATACGTGTTGTGACCGATTTTTTCTAATTACTTTCACTGGCTGATATCTTGCAGCTAATTTGCTCATCCAATTATGTGAACTACTCGATAATGTTCTATATTTTGCCATTATCCACTTTCCAGGTTCAAATTCTCTCGTTGTTGCATGCTTATTGTACTCTTTCTTTCTTGTCTCATAACTTTTCTTGCTGTTTTCGTATGCCTGTTGTACAATTTGGCGATGTTCATTATTATTCACTGTATTTTCGTTTCCATCACTCAATTCTTTTCCGAAAACCACCACATAAGGCTTCATTTTAGTTGCATGATGTTTACGATTATTAATTTTGCTGATGATTTCTTTAATATATTTGTGCCAGGTATTGTGTGTCTCATTCGATTGTAGCATTAAAATTGCGAGTGACTCTCCTATAACTCTGTTTGCTCTTTCCACTGGATTCTGGTGTGGAGCATATGAAGCTGTTGGCAAAGAAATAATATTTTTGTTTAATAAAAAATTTTTAAACCTTTCAGCCATGAATTGTGAGCCTCGATCATGTTTGATGATTTTAACATTCGGGAAAACATTCAGGACTTTGTCGTTGATAAACTTAATTGTATTTTCCACGGTCGCTCTCGTAATACATTCAGCTATTAAGTATCTTGATAATGCTTCTTGAGCCACAATGATATATTTATATCCGTATTGAGTAGTTGTCGGAAGTGGACCTTTAAAATCGACTTGGATGTGTTCTCCTACAGTTCTTGGCATTGAAAAATTGGGCATGATACCTCTTGCTACATAATTAGGTATTTTGATATGTGCGCATCTTAGACATCCTTTCAAAAATTTCATCGTATCCCTTTTTAAACTTTTCCAATGAAAGTGCTCTCTAATTTTGTCTATTGTTTTCTCCATACCACCATGTAAAGACTCTAAATGTGCCCATTTAATTGCCGCTTCATATTGTGTAGGATGTGGAATCTCTCTCCAATCATCATTTTGTTCATTCCTTATTCCTACTTTGACATAAATTCTGTTGTTATTTAATCTATAATTTTGATTTGCCTCTGGATGTGTCGATACTTTATGTCTTAAAGTATCAAACTTTCTTATGTTGTCTCCCGCTTGTTCCAATTCCTCTTCATTTATTGGTGCTATAGCTTGTGTTGGGTTATTCGCAATTACATTTATATGGTAATGATTAAAATCGTCATCGTCATAATCATCCATCTGTGTTCTTGCTCTTGATAATGCATCTGCAACTACCATCAGCTTTCCTGCTCTATGAATTAATTGGTGAGCATGTGGTTGTATATTACGAATCGGTTCCGTTATAAGTTCAACTGCAGGTGGATTTGGATGAATGTTGCTGTGCGACATTTTCTTGCTGGATGTTAGATGACTTGCAGAATTTATTCAACTGTCTTTCTTGCTAATTTAAACGTTCGACGCCAATCGCCGCCCTCCTGATATTTTGTAGCAAACTACTTTTAATGTGTGGATTCTTAGCAAGCTATTTAAGCCCCTTTAATTGTTTTGGAAGGCTGTAATTCTTTCGTATGTACTAAAACACGTGGACTTATGATTCTGATCTTCTTAACTGTATCTTTTATTACTTGAAATTGATGCTTAGCGATAAAACCTCTTTATCTGTAACAATTATTTAATGTTAATAACAATCATATGTTTGTTTCCTTAAAAACTTACAATAATTTTCCAGTAATTAATAGAAAAAGGAAAGTTTCTCAAAGCTGGTCTCAATTTCTGTCTCAATAATATATAATTAAGTGTTAATTCAACTCCAACTATTAAATTGACACGCGGTTTGCTCTTCTTAATATCTTAATCTTAATTATTATACAAATTCTATACTTTATCGTATAATTAATTAACAAATTTTATGTGACGCACGTTTGCTCTTGATTTCTTGACTAACTCTCGTCCCTCGCGTATTTCGAAAATTCGAAAGTTTCAAAAAGGCATGACAGTTGTAAATATATTGCTACAATGTATGCATAATAAGAGTGTCAAGTCCAACGACATAATTTAATTTGTTAATAAAATAATAAATATTGTCTCATGTCTCATCATTCTATACTCACGAACCCGACAACATTAAAAACATCAACAAAAAAAAGAAATTTTCTTTCAAAGCGATAAAACAAAATAAATAAAACTCAAATGAAGCAGCTCAGCAATTAAGTTAATAGATGAGTGAAAATCTAGTCATGAAATTAAGCATTTTCCATAATTAATTAGAAAAAAAACTTTAATAATATTCATCACGCACCAGAATTGTCACCCATCTACAAACAAAATCATAAATCATATCCATTAAGGAATACATTGAAATCATAAAGGTTCAATATTATATCTAGGCTAATTAAAACAAAAAGAAAATTTTTTAAAAAAAATTAAGCATATAATTGAGGAGGAATTGCCAACAGCACTGGATGAGTGTGTAATCTAGTCATTAGTTTGATAAACATTTCTAGTCGAAAATGCACTAGATCAACACCCACCAAGCGACAATTGGCATTAAAATCAACAAAAAAAATAAACACAATTTTGGGAATTGCTTGCCAAACAGCTGTTTTATGCTCTTTATCTGAACGTCAAAATCGAAAATTCAAGTTTCTATTTCTCTATGTGTGTGCCAAAAAAATTATATATACACAATCATGAATAGTCTCGAAAAAAATTACATAAAGCATCAAACAATCGATATGAAAAAATATTTCGAGTATTTTCCATAAAACAGCTATTTGAATGCACAAGGGGCATATCCAGGGAAAGTTTAAGAGACAAAATCTCTGGATACGCTCCTGCATTGCATCTGCTACTGATTTACAGAACAGCAAAATATAAACTCCCAAAAAAACAGCAATAATCACTTGTAAATCACAAAAAGAAGTTAAAACAACTATAAATAGCAAAACATGACTGGAACTTACTTGCACAAAAACAGAGAATGCTTCCTCAGCGTTCTTAAAGACGAAAGCTTCAAGGTCCAAACCAGCATTATATTGTTCGAAAACAATATAAAGTTGATCGTCGTCAAAAATATCGGGATTATCGTTTTCACTTCCTTTCAGACTACTATCATTATAGATTTCCCAAGCGTCGAGAAGATGTTGCGGAAAAGCACCTCTAACACATTTAACACGTTTGATCTTTACAAAACCATCGGTCTTGTTCTCCTTTCCATTGCTTAGTCCACTCAACTCCTCAGCTATGACTATTTCCGAGAGAATCTCACTAAAACGCTTTTGTGGTCCACCATTAACAAAAAGATCGCCTTCAATTGGTATGATTTTCAAGACAATTGGATCATCGTCGGGAGGTTGGTACATAAAAACCTCTCCGTATACGCCTTCGCCTATTTTCTCACAGTTTGGAAGTTGGCTGCAATTGTAGTTAATTTATGTTAAGTAATGGAATCAAGCTGTGAAGTGATAAAGCAGTAAACTTACCTTTCGGAATAAATATCATCAAAAAGAAGTGGTTCGATTTGACCACATCGACGTAAACAGATTTGTTGAGCACTTAAACCCGATAAGACATCAACATCGATGATTGGGGATGCAAGCCCATAGAAGATTGATGACTTCTTAAAAACGATTGTTTCTCGTTGGCTGGCTGTCCGTTGAAGCACATAAGATTTATTGATTGATGCACATTCGATCGAAGAATCAAATAACGATAGTTCAGCTTGCAGCCTTCCTTCATCTGATTGTTCCAACAATGCAGCTATACGAAAATAATAATTTTGATTATCAAAATCTATGAATCATGATCTTTTTCAGGTGAGAATTAAAATGACGCAACAATGGCAATGTTGCTCAATTCACTATAAAAAATGAGTCATGTAGAGCAAAATCAAAAATGCCGGAAGATTGTTTGACATGAATACAATATGAATTTTTTTTTTCAGTATAATCAGAGCACTTTACTGATACACTTAAATAATTTTAGAGCAAAGCTAGCAGCTTAAAATGAGGTTTGTGGATGCAGTTTGTCTTGATTTGGATAAAGAGCTGACTATGTTGGTGATAAAAATTAAAATGGTTCTCAAAAATCACAGAATTCACTTCTTATGCTGAATAGTGCCTCAAAAATTGAAGAACAATTTCAATAAGCATAAGAATTTCATACAAAAAAATCTTGGAACTTAAATCTCAGGAAGTGTTTGCTTCTTATGCTGAATAGTGCCTCAAAAATTGAAGAACAATTTCAATAAGCATAAGAATTTCATACAAAAAAATCTTGGAACTTAAATCTCAGGAAGTGTTCGCTTCTTATGCTGAATAGTGCCTCAAAAATTGAAGAACAATTTCAATAAGCATAAGAATTTCATACAAAAAAATCTTGGAACCTAAATCTCAGGAAGTGTTCGCTTCTTATGCTGAATAGTGCCTCAAAAATTGAAGAACAATTTCAATAAGCATAAGAATTTCATACAAAAAAATCTTGGAACTTAAATTTCAGGAAGTGATGCAGCATAAAAGCAAAAAATGCGCATCTAATCCATAAACACTAAGTGTTCATAACTGTCTTTCATTTGTATTCAAAGCATTGCACATTTTTCTCTCTCACTCAAAAGAAACAAATCTTTCCATTATCTCAATGATGAGAAAAGAAAATAAGCAATAGCTCCTATGTATAGACGATGTGTGACCTTATAGTGAAAAAAATATTCAGGTCGCATGAAAATTTCATATTCTAATCATACATCGTACGAATGAGTACAGTATAAAAAATTTTCAAGGATAACGACAGACTTCGTATTGATATTTCCGCATGCAATGACTCATGTAATGTTCAATTACCTTTCTTTGTTAAATCTGAATGCATACAATTGTCAGCCAATTCCGATGATGCTCTCACAATGAATTTGTTAATTAAAATTCACCACAAAAATTGTTCTTTCAAATCTTTTTTTATGTCTCTTGTTTTTTTAAAACACAAACTTTCACTTCTCGGATACTCTTTTAATTTTTTTTTACAGTTATTTGGACGTTGTATCACTTGCTATATATTTTATTGGTACGCAGTTTATATCGTTCAATTTATAACTCACAATAATTTCTTTTAAAACTTTTTTTATATCTAAATTAATGTGCACAAGGACGCAAGCAAGAAAAAAAGTAGAAAAATTAAAGCAATTATTGTCGGATGAATCTGGCTGGAACTTGCTCACAATACTCTTTGTTTTATATTGGACGCTATATTGATTTGTACGAAGAGAAACTATATACATACAGTCGAGAAAAGGAGAAGAAAATTACGTATAGTGTAGAAAATCGTAAGAAAAAGCAGCTATGGATGTATTGTGAAAATGTAACGCAATAATAATTTTAAATGGAATTAAATTTTTAAATCTTTGCATAAGCTCGCTTTGAAATTATTTCAGGAAATTTACACCCATAAATTTTTTTTATTGCTGGCTGCATATATCTCTATGGCTGTTCTGGAATTTCTTTTCAAAGATTTACGCACAAATTATACAAAATGAGTCATTAGCGTCATAGAGCAAAAGTTATAATTTTGTTTTTGAGTGCTGTGAGCAATTTCGCAAGCAGCTTTGATACTTTAAAATGTTAAAGAGATTCTTACGTTGTAAATAAAACAAATTTCACTAATTGAATTAACTTTTTAACAAACTTTCAAGACGAAAAACGAAAAATTAGTTCACAAGAAAACGATTTGAAAATTACGTATTTTCATACGCTGAACTGCTTGTTCCTTAATACATGTATTAGTGTATCCAAAATGTGCTGAGTTTTGATTTGACTTTTTCGTAGCCGTTGAAGATTTGTAAGAGCATCAAGGAATGACTTTATTCTTAAAAACTATTTGTACTTACATTTTTCTAGTGACTCATGCAGCTTTTTCTTATATCGTTCGAGAACTCCTGGATCAGTACGGATTGGGAATAGAGCAACAAATTTTCGAGATGCTCGGTTAATAACTCTATTTGGATTATGACTTTTTCTCCATGCAGCCAATGATCGTCTCCACTTTCCAGGTCTGAGATTAATTGTCTCATTTATCTTAGATATTTCTAATTCACTAGCCTTATTCTCCTCAGGAGCATCAATAAATTGTACGACTTTATGTTTTGATTTATCCTTTTCTGGCAAGTTTGTAATACTTTCTTCTATATCCGGTACGACAAGAGAGCTCTGGTTCTTATTATCGTCAATTTTACTTACTTTACTAGGAGGAATACTTGATTCTGGATCAATTAATGAGCTATTATGTAATTCAGGTACTGTCAATGACTTTTCAATTGATTTAGATCCATTCTTTTCATTCATGCTTAATTTTGGAGAGGCTAACGAGATCATAGCTGATTGAGGATCTTTATTTGGTGTCTCGTTCTTCTGTTCAACAGCCTTCAGTGTCTTAATTCTATTTGAAATTTCAGGCTGCAGGATATCTTCTTTTTCAGAAATGTTAACTGAATCTCCAGCCATTTCAATGGAGCTATTCTCATGTGATTCGCTTTTAGCGACTTTAGACTCTGGAGCCTTATCTACTTCCAATGGCTCTTGCTCAGCAATTTCAGGCGATTTATTCTTATGTGTAAGTTTAGGCGTTTTACTTACTGGTTCGTCATCACATTCAAAGGAAGCTAAATCAATTGTAGCGTTCCTTAATGATATTGGAGATATATCAAAGTTTAAGTCACATTTTCTCTTTAAACGATTTTTTGGAGTAGAAACTTCAACATTTTTCACTGCTTTTACTCGATCTCGTTGTGTTTTCCGCTTCTGTTTAACTTTATCCTCATTTTCCTTCTTAAAAGCATGATAAATGGAATCAAAGAATGAGCTATTATCACCGTAAACTTTTACTGGAAGTTTTGGCACATATTTTTTCTTATTCTGTTCATTTGCACAATTCTCATCCTGTGGATGTTTGTCATTATCATCAGTTGCAGCTGCTCTCTTTTTAGTGCTTCTTAATGTCCGAGTAGTGCTACTTTTATTAGGAAATTTAATTCAACTGAGTAATCATGAAAAATTTATGTATCAAAACTTACACTTTTGTTTGAACCTCATTTTTTGCCTTCTCTAGCCCTTTCTTATCACTTACTCCTACCTTTTTAGATGCTATACGTTTTGACTTAAGCATATTTGTATAAAAATATATGTATATTAAAGCATTTACTAAGTTATGATACAAAATATATAGGTTTCACTTTTTCACCAAAATTAACGGTTTGTTGCACGATATTTAAATTTACTATAGACGTTATTTTATTTCATTAATACTAATGTCTGAAACATAACAAAAAATAGTTCAATTCCAAAAATAATTCCAACCCCATCCCAAATGGATTCATTATCAATTCCTGAAATAATTAAATTATGTAAAAAGGCTGGATTTCTTTAAATAATACCGTTTTCAATGCATTTTATTTGAATTAAATGTAATTAGAACTTAAAATCTAATGCATAGGCAACATAAAAAATTTTACATTCTAATCATGTTAATAATATTATTAAGGTTTTTGTTGAAAATGAAGAGTTTTACATAGTTTTATCTTATAAAAAATATTCTCTTGCACATATCATGTCTTGTCATCTTGATTGATTCCTTCTCATAAAAATAATCTTTCTCTTTAATCCTTAATGATATTTCAAAAATTTCCTTTTTCGAGTCTTTCCAATAAATCAGAGATATAAATTAGAGACTTTTACAGTAAATATGTATGCGCTACAAGGAAAAATCTGTGCATTGTTTTATCTCAAAAAAAAAACTTTCTTGTCATTGTTGTATGGAAAAATCGGCAGTGATGTTAGTACAAAAGATTCTTGTTAAAATTAAAAGTTAAACTGCCTGAGATAAAAGTTTTAACTATACTTCATTTGTTTTCTTCTTTTCTTCTATAGTATGCAAGAGCTATTTTGTCTTATTTCTTTGTCATTTTGAAGCTTATTATTATAAATTTTTGTTTTAAAATACTTGGGTAGTTTCAAGATGGATCAAAATGTTGAAAAACTGTCCATTGAGTTTTAAATTGCAGGCTTAAAAATTAAATCCTCGGATTAAAATCTAAATCTGAAGATTTATAATTTTAATCCTTAGATTTAAACTTTTAGTCCTGAGATCCATTTGAAAATGACTTTCTTATTGACCCATCCATCGTTAATTCAAATAAATGATTTGAGAATAATAGAGCTCATTACTATAATATAAATATTGGTGATTATTCAATAAATCGAAATATTATTTCATTAAAATGTGCATAACAAATAAAGCAGGTAAATTAATTAATTATTCTTAACTCACATTAATAGTAACTACGTAAGTATGAAACTTAACTTTTGTGTTTATCTCGAATTTGGTAGTGGATGAAATTAAGCTCTTGAAAGAAATTTTATAGTTTTTTTTTTGACAATAAAAAGATTCATAGCACGCGGACATTCATTCATAAATTGACTACTCACTGCTTCTTTTCATTTATTATTTTTATTATTTATTATTATTATTTTTAATTTAAAGTTCCTCATCTTATGCAAAATGTGGTGAAAAGCTGGGGTGTAACGAAATGCAACTATCTGTGTGGATATATTTATTTGAAATTATTGGAACCTTATGTCATTCATGCCTTGAAATTCTGTTACATCCAATCAACTGGATCTTATCAAACAGCAGAACTGACATAAAGCTCCGTTCTAGAAATAAGTCTGATAAACTTTTGCATAGCATAAATTTAAGCAATTCATGATTATAATATTTTTTGTCACCACTTAATTAATTTATAACCAATTTAACAATGTACTTGCATCATTTTAAATTTAAATTTATGTCAAATCAAGTATAAAAAGCATAAAAATGATATTTACAACCAATGCAATTACATAAATCTGATTTTTATGTTCAGCGCTTTAACATTAAATTTAATTAATTAATTTTTTTTACAAGAATTTGTTTAAAGACACGAAGCAAAGTGATTCTTTCTTCAATTCTTCATTTTATTTAAATTTTGTAGGGGTTTTCTAATGATTTCTTGATGAATGATGATGATAATGAGTTGATGTGATGAAATGATGATTATCTAATTTAAATGCTATCACTTCCTTTTTCCTTCACACATTCGAGTTATTTCTTTCCAAAATACATCATCTAAAGCACCAATTTTGCTTAAAAATATTTTTTTTTTTCTTATTTCATGTCGCAACTTTTTTTTGGATTATTGCAATTTTAGTCCAAAAATGACTTTCTTGTGCTTTCCTTATTTCCTTTCATACTTCATTTATGTGTTATCACTTGTGAAAAAAATTTGCATTATCAAAATATTATTTCTTGCGTACTTTAATTGTTGTATGTTAACATCAAAGCAATGACTATATAATTTATAGGTAATAAAAAAGAACTTCTTCATTAATCATTAAATATTATGTTCTTGGGCATTAAGCTACATTGAACTGCTGGATCTGGTCAAAAGCATTAAAAGCGGCTGACCGATATAATATCTAAAAGGGTATGCATTAATGGGATGTGTTTGGATATGACAAGTACAATTATGAATCCTAATAAAAATCATCTTAGCTACTCTGATTTTACCTGTTTCCACATTTGTGTCTTAATCTAATCAAAATGGAGACGTCAAATAATAATGATCCTAGCTGATTCCAGAGGAATCAACAAAAAAAAAAAAATCTTAAGGAACTGAAAATACAACATAAAAAAAAGTAAATAAAAAGGAAATTATAAAAATGAATCAATATCTTTTATTGAATTTTTCCATCCACATCCTTCAAATTAATCAAAAATTGCCGCATTTCTAAATTTTTAACTTCGTCACTTTATCTTCCATCAATGAAAATAAGGTCACGAAGCTTTGCTAAGCTTTAATTGGGAAATTTTTATGCTTTCTTATTTAAATTTATGTAAGATTTTTTTTTCTTTTCTTTTGATTGTTCATTTTAAATAACAAATGAAATGTGAATCCATACTAATTCACGATTTGTACCAAAGGCAAAGACTCTTGAACAATTACTGTGTGTAATTATTGAAGAATTTCAACCTCAAGCTCACTTATGCATAATTATTTTTTTAAGGAATTCGACTTTACTTAATTATAGATTGTTCTTAGAATGTACGAATTTGCGAAGGTTGAAAGTTTGAATCTAATGGATTAGTGAATTAATCCATCAGATTAAAGTTTAATCTTGAAATCAAAAACCTTAATCTACCAGATTAAAGTTCAATCTAAGTTTCAAAGCTAATTCATAGAATGAAAATTTCAACCTTGCGATTAAAATTTCTAAAAACTCTAAACCTAGTCAAGTCGAAACCTTTAAATCATGTCGAAATTTTCAATTCTTTAATTAAACAATGTTCGTTTTTAACTATTAAAAAAATAAAGAATTATTTAATATTAATAAAAATAAAGATAAATCTTTTCTACAGAGCTGTCATAAAGTTTTGTTTAAAGAATACACTTTTGAGAGAGAGAGAGACTCAACATTTAGAGTACAAAAAAATTGAGACTTTTCATGAGATTCTTAATTAATGCGAAAATTGGTCATGAAAATTTTGTTTTAAAAAGCATAAAAAATTACATCCATCGCATTTAATTGCGAAACGATATGAACTAAACTTAAAATATAAGTAATATATTTTTAAAAATGGACGTTCTCTCTGATTAGATTGTGATTTTTAATTTTTCTTTTGAGCTATTTGATAACAAAAAAGCAACATTAAAATTATCGTGATTTCTCCTTTTTAAAGTTTTTGTTTTGTGGTTTATGTGAAGAAATAATCATCGGTAAATCCTGAATAAAATGGTATGTTATTATTACATTAACTACTTCCACAGGATAGTAAGAACTCTTTTTTCTTTGTAAAATATCTGTTTCTGTTAAGCTATAAACTATGATCTTTATAAGTAAATTTAAAAAAATCATCATGATCTTAAAATTTCCATGTTGTGCCAAATCGTTGTCGTTAGGCGAGATTCTTAAAAATTGAACACATTTTTCAAAAATGATTAAAATTTAGTAATAATAATGAGGAGATTCATGTGTTTTTTTCATCTACAATAATCAGATCTCTGTGTTGATAAATGAGATTTCATCTCGTTTCCGTAACTTTTTTCTTTTCTTTTCTTTTATAGCTTTCCATTTAGAGCTCATTGACTTATTTAATGAAGAAACTAATTAATTATCATTATAATAGTATTATAATCTTAAAAACAAGAAGAAGCGTTTATCATCTAATAGATAATTCTTATTACACATTACTTTTGTCCTATCATCTTCATCCTTTCCTCAATTTTCTTTGTTTTGCTACTTTTTGTTGAATTCTTTTATGCATTTTTTGACAAAATTATAGTTTTATGTCCTGTGCTGACATTATTCGTTGGATAAAAGATTTGTTTTGCATGTTCATTTAAACATACGTTGCAGCTCCAGAACTAGTTCCTGCTTGTTGTGTATGATGAATTGGTTGCGGACTCACGGGTGGATTAAGTTTTCCCGGGATGTACTGTCCAATGAAAGATCCATCTTCAGCAAACTGACCTCCTAGAATATTGGATGTGCATTAGTATTCATTATGTCTTGGAATATTACTTAATCTTAAGATTAGCATCGGATTAAGAATTAATCTTCGGCAATTTAACAGAAATAATTTAAAAATTTGGACAAAAAGGATCTATAGATCTTTACAGGCAAGCATAAAATTTAATAATAATTACCTTAAAGGAACAAAATAACAATAATTTTCTACTTTAAATACAGCAATATGCAGTCACACACGTAAATAATAGTAACGTACAAAAATCATGATTTGATTGTAATTATTTTTTTTTTTGACAAAGGATGACGATGATAATCAGCATAATTGTTTTTTTTTGTGTAATAATTCAGCAGTTGAAAGGTGATAATAAGGAAAATAATAACGATAGTAACTTAAGTTAAAAGATGTTTTTTTTTTATACAAGCGTTGCAAACGCTTGATTATTCGAAGGTGGAGGTTTTCCTTTTTTGCCATATTGTCCAATGAATGAACCATCTTCATTCATGCCTGTCTCTGTGAATGAGAGGTACAAAAGAAAGATTCGAAATAATAAGCAAAAATAAAACATAAATTAAGGTATGTAGAGAACTAGCATATATGAGAATAACATAAAAATAAATGACTGGAAAATTGCATGAATGTGAAAAATGCTCATGAAACTTTCCATTTGTTATTATTTTTCCATTTACTTCTATCGGATGCACTACATGTCAAGAATAATAAATAATAAGAATGTAAAGTAATAAAAAATAATAATGCTTTCTAGGACAAAACAATAAAAAATAGTAATTTCTCCTTGATAAACTAATTAAAATATAAATGTTTCTATCTAAGACAAACACATAAAGTTATTGCTAAAGGAATTAGCAAGATTAAAATAAAAATTAGCAAGCTAAAGAGAAATTCAGTGACTTTTCATTCAGAAAAAAAAAACTTTAAGAAAAAATAGCAAGTTTTGTAGAAAGTGACCATCAAATAGAACTTAATTAAGAAATAATAAGAATATCAGAATTTGATGTCCATTTCTTCTTACCAGTATCACCATCGCCATATTCGGCCATCGAATCAGTATCACTTTCGGGACCGTGTTTTTGTGAGCTTAATGATTGTCTACCTTGCGATTTGTTATCCAGACTGAAATCACGTAATACACTAAACTCTTTTTTGTATCCAAGTATTAAATTCAATTATTTCAAAATGGGGGGTAAAAATTATTATGTGTATGGAGGGTTAGGTTTACAAAATAATGTCAAAAGTATTTTGTTGGATTAAATGAGATTTTAAAGTTATGATGAACAAAATGAGTTAAACCCTGTTAGATACTAATACTCTGTTAATTTCTTTCATAAAACTGAACCACTTTAATAATGAACTTAAAAATGTAGGGGAGTTGGGTTAGAAACAAATGATGTTATCAATCAAAAAATTAAAATTTTATACTTGCTCTTTCACAAAATTCTCATGGAAATTTGTGACAAAACATGAAGTTAATGGAAGTCATTTGCGTAAATCCCCACAAAAACAAAATAAAGCATTAATGAGTTGAAATGTAAATTTGGTTGATCTTCACCCAATTTGCAAAAATATGAGATTGGATAAATTATCAGGATTGACATAAGCACATCAGTCAATTTTGGATTATTTAAAAATCAGTCTCATTAAAATGCTTATTGGTCTATCCCACAAAAATAAATGATTTTGGTAATGAAAAGCAGTAAAAATTTGTCTTTTTGATATTGCTGTATATTGGCAATATTTTTGTATATGAAAAAATGGAAATAACAAACATCTTACCAAATCCTTATGATCATCAAAAAAAAATTTATATTAACAGGAAATGTCTGTATGTGTTTAGAAATTGATCTTTTTGGGTTTTCAAAAACAAAAAAAAAACGAAACTCAAACTCAAAAAAAGGTTTCAATTAAAAGACAATTTGTTCATTAATTGAGTCAGAATCCATTCCAAAAATAAAAAAGTCATCATATTAATGTGGTCAGTGTTCAATGTTAGTGACATTTATGCTTGTTAGATTAAAAAGCTAAATTTCCGAAATTTTCAGAAACTTATTTTCTAAGAGAAATTAGACTCATTGAAGGCTTTGTTGTGTCCAATTAAATAAATTATCAAAAAAAAAATTCGGCCATATGTGTGTAAAAAAATTAAAGAAAAATCTCGCGTGTTGCTTGTGAACACAAAAAAATCATGCCAAAAATTGGTACGGGTTAGACTTACTTCGTTAATTTTGAAACAACATCAAAAAAAGTTAAGATAGAAAAAATATTTTAATTCTATAGACAAACCATAAATTACGAAATAAAAGCTCACATTTTCTTAAAATGTAATTTCCCTATAACAATACTGGCCATATTTTTTTCTTCATTATCTTTAGAAGGAGCAGTGGGGGAGGAAGGAAGAAGATCTGATGAACTGAAATGAAATTGAAATTTTGTTGTTTGTGTCTTTGTTTTTTTTCGAATTATTTTCCAGAAATAAAAGTTAATAATGTTCGTGACAATCTTTTAGTCATTGGAAACAGCAAAAAGACCCTATAATCTATACACAAAACCTTCAGTGAGCTACCATAACTGATGAAAATGAGCACTAGATCTTTAGCAACATAATGATAATATAAATAAGATAAGAGTAAGATGTATGAGAGTCTATGGTTATGTATCTGTATGATTTTTGACTATCAATTCTAAATTTAAACCCCTCGATTTCTACTTACGGCTGTGAATATTCGTGGAATCCTCCTTCTTCTGGATAATCTTGACGTCCATTTGCCATTTCTCTGTCGTGTACATCATATTTGCCACCACGATTTCGTTTAATTATGCATATAAGAACTAAAAGGAGGATGAGGAAAGCCAATGCAAGAATCATTCCAATGAACCATCCAGCTGTTGCAATACTATTGTCATCAGGATGTCTGATCAATACTCCACCATCTATAATACAAACTCAAACAAATAGGCACAACAAAAACTACATATATAATAAAGAATTTACCTGGATCAGATGTTTCGATGAATTTAGAAACGCTAGGAGTTTCCTCTGAACCATCAACTGACACGACACGAATTTCATATCTAGCACCGGCTTCAAGTGCAGTAATTTCATCAAAATCTTCATTAATTTTCTCAGCTGATCTTTCCCATGATGGCTGACCCTCTTTACGATATTGAGCATAGAAATGTGAGCCTGGATGTCCTGCAACATTTGGTCGCCAATTGATTTTAGCTCTAGCATATCCATTTTCTCCTGTGGCAACAGAATGATCAAATGATGGGATATCTGGTTTTGTGTATGTTGTTGTTGGACTCTGTGTTGTTTCCTCAATGTAATAACTGTTAAAAAGTATCAATTGTTAAGCAGTTCAATCTAATAAAGAAAATTTCTACTTACTCATCTCCTTCACCCTGTTTAGTGAATCCAACAATGTGAATACGATATTTGGTATTTGATTGAAGACCAGCAAGTTTAGCTTGTTTTACATCTGGATCCAAAATTCTTGGTTCTCTTTCTTGTCTTGCCTTCAATTCAGTTCCTTCAACGACTTCATAGTAAATTCTATAGCCTTGCAATTTACCGTTTGTCAATAAAGGTTTCTTCCATGTCAACCAAAATGCAGATGATCCCAATGGATATGCTTGTAATGACTGAACTGTACTTGGGACGCCTTCTGGTGTATCAAATTCAATTGTATTACTTGGTGGACCATTAAAGCGATCATTGAATGCCATTATACGAGCATAATTCTTTGAGTCTGGTGTAAATTTATCCACAAGAGCTTTCGATGTGTTACTCTTCATGAGAATTTCTTTGACATTTTCTTCATCACCTTCAACCCATGTATGAATCTTGTAGCCACGGAAATGTCCACGAATAGATTCAGGCGTTACTTCATCCCATGATACCATAGCTTTATTTCCACTAACAACATCAACTAATTTAAAGTTCTTTGGAGATTCCGTTGGTTCTAAAATTGTTCAAAATTCAATAATAGTTAACCTCGAAAAATATATGCAGTGAAAAAGAATAATTTTGGAAGTAAATGACTCGCTCATTGGCATAGTTCTTGAAAAATGACTTGAAATCGTGTAAGAAGAAGATTCTTTCCGCACGACGTATTTACCTGTTTAGCAATTTATTGTTGGAACTTTGAACACTTAAAAAAATCTCACAAAATAGTCGCTTGAGAGCATCATACTTAACAAATGTCAATCAAGACGATAGAGTAAATTCTTTCAATTTAGGAATGTATGAAATATGTTAAGAAACATCAATGAAAAATTGGATTATCATGAAGAAGAGATACAGAAATTGTTATTACTCATAAAAAAAAAACTTTCAAAAAAGCATAATCATAATATTAGAGCCAACATGAACGGTCGTAACCATTTTCTGATTGATTAATTCCTCAGTAATAAAAGAATTAATATTTATTAGTTAAAACAACAATACTCACTGTCCTCGCCAGAGAAGCCTTCAATTTCTTTCACAGCGACATTAGATTCACCCTTTTCGTTGACAGCCTGAACTTTTATTTTGTACCTTTGGAATGTCGGTTGATCGAGAACAACTAACTCACCTTGTTGCCAATCATAAATATCACGTTTCTGCCATTCTTGTCCGGAAATATCACGTTTCCAAGAGACACGATAATGAAATTGGGGTGCATTATGATCAATTTGAGGCATTGGAGACCATTTGATGACCAGATTTGATGGTTCAGTTCCTTTTCCTTCAACATTATCTGGATTCTTGTGTGGAACATCTGGCTGTGTACTGCATGATTCACTGTGTTCTGATGGCAAAGATTGTCCAACTTTATTGACGGCAATAACACGGAATGTATAATTTCCCCATGGACTCATTGGAATTGCATATGAGAAATCTGTAGCAGGAACTTGCTTTGAAGCATCAACCCAAATATCAGGTGTAAATGTTGTATTATATTGAATAATAAAGTATAAGATTGGTGATCGATTGTCACCTTTTGGTTCCCATGAAATTGTAGCATCATGTTCATTACATTGAATTCCAGTTAATGCTGGAGCATTTGGAGTATCTTGAACGGTTAAAGTCGATGTAGCTTCAGCTTCATCAAGTTCTGTTCTTGCACGGCATGTATATGATCCTGAATCCAATTCAATTGTATTAGATATTGTCAAAGAATGATCACTGGATTTTGTGAAACGAGGTTGTGCATCAAAATCAATAACTTCTCCATTAAGCAACCATTCAATTTCAAGTGGCAATGATGGATCTGAGACTGCATTACAACGGAAAGTTGCCAATGTGCCAGCAATAACTTCATAATCTTGTGGGAATTCTGTTATTTTTGTATGTTCATGAACAAGTAATGATCCAGTCGCTTCTTTAGTTCCAAATTTATTTTCAGCATGACAAATATATTCGCCAGCATCAGAGAATTGAACAGCCTTAATATGTAAATTTCCAGATTCTTGAATTTCATAACGTCCTCCAGTCAATTCTTGTCCATTACGAATCCACTTTATTTTAGGTTTTGGTGCGCCAAATACTTTGCATGTTAAGGTAATGTCACGTTGATCAACTGTTGCTTCACGTCCTGGTGCTTCTTCAATCTCTGGAGGAAGTGCCAATACATTGACATAGACATCTTTATAGACATATCCCAAAGCATTTGTTGCGTTACAACCGTAATTACCAGTATCAGATTTCAAAATGTCTTTAATTGTAATCTTGTTCTTTGACACAGTTCTGCGTGCATTTTGTGGAGCATCATCAATTGGTTTACCATTATGAATCCATTTAATTGCTGGCTCTGGAATACCACTAGCTTCACATGAGAATGAAATTGTTTCTTCTTCTGCAGCATTTACAGGCTCTGGTTCAACAGTGAAATATGGAATTGCCTTAACTTCAAGATTAATAGTCGATGATTGTTGTTGACCAGCACCATTTGATACGTCACATGTATATGAACCTCTATCGTCTAAACTTGTGTGCTTTATGACAAGAGATTTACCGTAATTTCCTTGAGACACACGATCGCTCCAAGCTATAGGTCGTCCATCTTTGCTCCATACTGTTTGAGGAAGTGGCGTACCGCCATATATACAGAAAAGTTCAACTCTATGACCGCGAAGTGCTACTTCATTACGTCTTGATACGTATTGCTTTGTTGGTGCATATCTATTTTGTGCTGCATTGCTTGCTGGATTTACTTTAAGCATTACACGATTACCAATTTTGTACTCATTTCTGAAAGGTGATGAGGCTGAACAAACGTAATAAGCATCTTCTGAAGCATCAAATCGAGTCACATTTGAGAACCATAAATTTCCTTCTGGATCTAATGTCATTCGTGAATTGTTAATTGTCTTAATTCCACCAACAGTTGATTCAAGCATCCAATAAACATTAGGTTTTGGCCATCCATCTGGTGGTTGACATTGTAATTTAAATGGTTCTCCTTCTTGTGCTTCTATATTATGAATTTGTTCGTCTTTGAAATTATTCAGCTCTGACTTTCTCACAAAAACAGAATTTGATGTAGCAATACCATGCTCGTTTTCAGCGAAACACTGATATTGACCCAAATCTTCATCACGTGGCTTTGTAATTGTCAATGTACCACGTCCTGGCTGTTGAGTTATTCGGTCATCGTATGCTGTGAAGTCGAAATGCTTTCCGTTCTTAATCCATCGATATCTGAAATGATATAAAGAGAATAATAAAATTTAATTTAATGTTTCTACATCTATAGCTTATTCTATGTATAGGGTGACCATCTGCGTAGTTTTACAACGGACAGTCCTGTATTTCAAAACCCTGTCCTGTATAAATTTTTAAATTTTGTTCCTGGCCCTGTATTTTTTTCATGAAAATTTCCGTTAATTTTCGAATTTTACTCTATGTCCTGTTTTTTTCGAAAAAATTTACCAAATGTCCTGTATTTTCATGAAAACTAGATGGTAACCCTATCTATGTATTATGAGAGAGGAGAGTATGGATGTAGATATTTGCATAATTTGAGAAAATTCATTGATGAAACGAAAGATACAAAGAATTTGAATAAAAATCTTGAATTTTAGATGAGTTCGTCCTTGATTTTATTTTCAATTCATTCACTTAAATCGTTTTGAGATTAAATCATCATTCATTCTTATGTCAGTGCGCTCTTTCTCAATTTATTTATATTTTGAGTTTCTACGGTCAATGGTCAAGCATCTTAACATGCAAAACGGCAACAAATGTATGTAAACTACTGATAAAAGAGGAGTCTACAATAGTCAAACAATGTCTGAAGAATATGAGTAATCAGAACGAGGGAGTGGAAGTAAACATGAAGAAAATTATCTTTTGTTAGGCGTTAATTGAACTCTCAAAGAATAGCCGGTGATTAATGCTATAAAAAAATTTAATGAAACATTTAAAAAATTTATGTGTACATTTTTGAAGAAATGGAAACAAACAATTAGAATCGTTTTGCTCAAGTGATTGGCTGTCTAAATTTCAAAAAACTGTTAGAAATGCGCTCATGTGATTCATGTATAAACATTCTTAATCTTCATGAGTGAGTGGAAATACTAAAATTATATTTTAAAAAGGAAATCATATCATATTATGAGTAATAAGAGATTCTCAATAACTTTTTTAAGCAATCAAATAAACATTTCGAGATATGTTCACTTTTATAATATTCTATTGTTTTGAAGAAATGCACGTTTCTCGCATAAAGGAAATTAAATTCTGCTGCAGTGTTGTTATCATCGAAACGTAATTTCAGCTTTAAAATTCAATCATTGAACCATCCATATACCAACACTGTTTCCCTCTTACATAACATAAGTAGTTTTTAAATCATAAAGCATAATGAAATGCCGAGCATATGCAAATGTTCAAGAATGAATAATGCTGCAATCAATCTCGCATCCATAATGCCTTGTTCAAAAACCTAATTACATTCTCTCTTATTCACTGTTATCAACTTATTTTTCATCACATTATCTTATTAAGAGTCGCTTATGACATCACAAGCATATGAGCATGCACAGACGAAGAGAAAAACGTCAACGAGATGAAAAAAAATGCGAACAAAAAGAAAAGCAAAGAAGACACACAAAAAAACTTCAATTAAGATTCATTCATGAAGCACCATTAAATTTCATTTACCGGCAAAAAAAGCGAGAAGCTCATCGCGAGTAAAACAAGAAAACTTTTTTGTTTATTTTGAATGTGAAGGAACGAACAATGATTGTTAAAATTATTTTCTATTTAGTAGTCGTGTAGGTTTTGACATTCAAGCCGAGAACTCTCATTAATTTTATTAGAATATTTTTGTTTCTCTTTTTCGCAATCATAGAGCAGCATAGAAAGAGATTCATTTGGTTTATTCTATTCGAGACAATTTACAAACTGATTTATATTACATATTAAAATACTTTTTCTGTTCTACATATTAAGTGGGTACAGAGAATTGAACGAAACCTATTAGTTAAAAAAATTATCACAGACATTTTGAGATTGGGGTTCGTCTACTTATGACGTCTAATAACGAGGTCTTAGGCATAGGGCATGAAAACTTAAGAAAACATAGATCAATAAAATTTTTGAGATGAATTATAATGATTACAGACGTCAACTATGAACTTTTTAGGAATAAATTCGTCTGGCCATTAAGTATGTGACAGAATTCAAAAAAGATTCTCTCATTTCGTATTTATCAATTTAATATTCATTAAATGTTGTTTGTTTCCATTTAATTGATTCTTGAAACTTTTAACCCTTACCATCCGACATTGACGAATTCCAATTCATTGATTATGGCACATATTTGTAATGTGTGCCTGCTCTCTTGTTTAATGAACGAAATCACACACAAAAATACCAATAAAAATAGTTTAAATGGTATTTTTCTGTTAGGCTAACCTTTGGAACTCTCTTGTGTCTCTTTTGTTAATTTAAATTAAATGCATTCCCATTGTATTTAACAACTGACACGTTATACATTACTAATTTTTATGTTTTTTTTTTACTCATATTGGTTCCGAAAAATATTCTTTCGTGGAAAAAAGTTGGCACTGCTTAGTGCCCAACTCTGAATTTGTGAAAAACAGAACCAAATTTTTGACAATAAAAATGATTCATCATGGATGAGTCCATCATACAAAAGAGAAATAATTTTTTTTAAAATTCTATGCATACCTCACAATCCAAAACAATTGTTTATTCATTTAATGCGCAGGTGGTGGCAAATAAAAATTGACGGATATTTTCTAACATATTGGGGCAAATTTATCGGACATTTCAGTATGAATCAATTTTAAATTATGGCTTGCAGGCAAGGAAATATGGAGAAATACTTGGGCTATTTTCATTTATCATTTAATGATTTGTTGATGTGTGCAGTTGTAAAAACATTCAGCAAGGCGTTAACAGATGGATGAAAATTTTCTTTTTATAAAAAAATAAATCTTCATTTATTTATTGCTTTTAATTTTTTTCTCAAGCTTTTTTTTGTTTTTGTTTTTGTTTTCACGCCTCATGACAGGATGTTTATCCTCTGTCGCAAGCGCCTCTAAAAATAAGATGCAGTTTTAATGCACAGAAAAACATTGTCTATCATAAAAATATGATAATTGTTTTATTGCAGTCTTAACGCCTTTAAAATTATTAGCAATCCTTTTAAAATAACAAATAATAAATAAATAAATAAACTGCCATATGCTGTTTATGGCATCAGAAGGAAGTGAAAATAAGAAAATTTGTGTTAAAAAAACAAAGTGACAGACAAAGAAACAGACAGACTGACTGGCAAGCAGATTTTCTCCTTTTTCTCATCCTTCGTGATTTGTATTTTTATGTAAATTGCTTCTATCTCTATTTAATGACTGTATTTAAATGAATCCTCATACCTAAATATAGAAGATGAATTATTTAAAACGATGAATCAGCTTCAATTCTATTCTTAATTTTATTACTAAAAACTTTCTTAAATGTACTTCCATTAAGTCATTAAATTTATAAATTAATTAAGATTCAATGAGATTTATTCGCAATCAATTGTAATAAAATAAGATGAAAATGTATTTATTTGTGATTTATTTAGGCGTTCAGATGTTTACGTCTAATTCCCATTTCCCCCTTTTCATTCACAAATGACGTTTGCCATAATTTGGAGCATGGAGAACCACAGCGCAACCCAGCTTCAGAATCCCGAATTAAAGTTGCACACCATTAATGAATCAACCCCTTTTTGTCTTATGAAAAATTAAAAGATATGAGGAGCAATAAAAGCATATCAACCAAGCAATAAAATTACAAGTTTTACGGATTGCGAAAAGTTCATTCATGCAAGTTTTATAGCATTGCATTTATAGACCTAGATGTGATGTGTAATGTTACAGAATTACAATTCTTTTATTTATTTCTTGATTGCTGATGATAGAATTATGGCTGAACTCCAGACTCAGTGCATTAGACATGAAATTAGGTTATTAGAATAAATCCTTTTATAGAAATGAGAATGTAAGGCATGAAAATATTTGTATGACAACTCAAAGACATATTTGAAATGCTTTTCAATCACGAAAAATCACGAGGAATTGATAGCAAGTTGTTGTGAAAAAGTCTGAGGAAATTTGGCAACGTGACAGAATAAACAAGGAGAGCATAAATTCCATTTTTACTTTAACAGAAATCGCGTGTATGATATAAAGGAAGCGAATTTGTTTATGTGATGAATATTTTGACAAATTCTGTATAATTTCTCAGTGATATCACGCCTTAATTTTGTCATAATGTCCATTATTGTTGGTATATTAAATTGTACCGTTGCGAATTATAAATATTGACATTAAGTTCCAATCAAAACGGCTTCCACTAAATTAGATGTGAATAAAAATCTTTAAATAAACTTATAAATAATTTAAGAATATAAACCAGAAAAAAAGTCAGTTCATAATCTTTTGTAATAGACCCTGTTCTATTGTATTGAATTCCTTATTATTTGCTCATATTAAAGCTGTATAAATTCAATAGAGAAGAATAAAACAAATATTTAACAATAGAAATGCACAATAGTCAATTTTCATTCCTTTTGATCATTTTAAAATATAAAAATTGCTCTCGAAATACAAATTTATTCATTCCATTCATCCCTAACTATGTCAATAAAAATATTTTTGCATTTGATATCCACAGAAGAAAGAAAGGAAGGGAGAATAAAAGAAAAAGAAGAAGATACAATTTCCACAAATTTCCTTTCTATTTTCATTCTTTGTGCATGATAGCATTAATAACACTTCTAGGCGTTTAACTTATTTTTCTTTCTTTCATTCTTTGTTCACTTGAAGCGCATATAATGAACTCCTTGAACTTTGTCAATGATGCTGCATAAACATCAGCACTAGTGGTAATAAATATCTGATAATTGCGGTTGACAATATATTCGAGATAGAAGAAAATTGCATAAATATTGTCATAATAAAAATAATCATTTCCCATTCCACGGATGTTCTCCATTTTCATAATGGAATTTTTGATCCTTTGTTAATTGCTTTTGGATATGATGGAAAAAAATTAATGAATTTTTGCTGTTTGAAATTTTCATTTTTCTAAAATTATTTGTTCCGTAAAGGGCGAGTCATGTTTTATGACCATCATATTCAAATAACTCAGTTCTTCAGCCTATGTATGTGTATATTTAT